TTTATTTTTTTTTTGCGATATATGTAAACATTGAAAAAAAAATAAATTATCAAAATGTGTGGTTACGCCCCAGTTGTAAAATATGTACTTCGAAATTCCAATAAGCGAGAAGTATTGATGTTTTTATAAATGCTCCAGCAACAACATTTCAGAATCATTGCGATACCATTTACAAAGGGTAAAACTCATTTTGAACATGTTTGATCATTAAATGTAGGTTAAAATGGCATCAAACTTATCCATGTTGTTTGGATAAGGCTTCAAACATTAAGCAGTTGGGCTTCAAACTTCCCTATATAGAGCATTTTGAACATCAAACGTGTGTATTTGCATATCAAACGTATGTACTGGGAACATTTGGGGCATCGAACTTTGCTTTATAGAACAGTTTAAATTTTAAAACTTATGTTTCAAACTTATATTTACAAATTAAAGTTTGTTAAAATGCCATCAAACTTCTCAATGTAGGTCTAGTAAGGTTTCAAATATTAAGCAATTGGGCTTCAAACATCTCAATATAGAATATTTGGAATTTCAAACGCGTCTATTTGCATATCAAACATACTTGGAACAGTTGGACCTTCAAACAGTTTGAACTTTAAACCTTTCCATACAGAAAAAAGTTAAGTTCCAAACTTATATTTACAGATTAAATTTTTTTCAAATGGCAACAAACTTCTCAATGTAGTTTCAAATATTAAGCAATAGACCTTCAAACATCTCAATATAGAACATTTGGAATTTCAAAAGCGTCAAACATATCAGAGCATATCAAGCATATGTCCTGTAGGCAATTGGAGCATCTAACTTCGGTTTATAGAACAGTTTAAATTTTAAAACTTAAGTTTCAGCCTTATATTTACAGATTAAAGTTTGTTCAAATGGCATCAAACTTCTCAATGTAGGTCGAGTAAGTCTTCAAACATTAACCAATAGGCCTTCAAACATCTGAATATAGAACATTTCGAATTTCAAACACGTCTATATATTTGCATATCAAATATATCTACTGGGAACAGTTGGAGCTTCAAACTTTTCTTTATAGAAGAATTTGAACTTCAAACTTATCCACACAGATAAAGTTAAGTTTCATACTTATTTTTACAGATTAAAGTTTATAAAAATGACATCGAACTTCTCCATGAAGAATAGGTAAGGCTTCAAACATCTCTATATAGAGCATTTTGAGCTTCAAACGTGTGTATTTGCGTATCAAACATATGTCCTGGGCAACTTCAAACAGCTTGAACATTATACTTATCCATACAGAAAAAGTTAAGTTTCAAACTTCTATTTAGAGATTAAAGCTTGTTCAAATGGTTTCAAACTTCGCCATGTAGATTAGGTAAGGCTTCTAACATTAAGCAATTTGACTTCAAATGTGTGTATTTGCACATGTGTGTATTTGTACTGGGATCAGTTAGGCCTTTAAACTTTTCTTGATAAAACAGTTTAACTTCAAACTTATCCATACAGATAAAGTTAAGTTTCAAACTTTTATTTACAGATGAATTGTAACTCTAAACTTCTCTATATAAAGCAGTTTAAATTTCAAACTCATCCAGAGAGGATATTTTTATTTTCAAACATCTTTTCATAGCGATTTTTAAGCTTTTTGAGGAACAGTATAAGCTTCAAACTTCTTCATACGAGGGCCGTTCGGAAAGTTCTTAGCCTACCACAAAAAGTGCGGTATAAACAGAAAAAGTTAAGTTTTTTGGAAACTTCCATCTCTGTTATAAACACATGTTAAATTGGGTTTCAATCTGGCAACTACTTAATATAGAAGCAGGAGTTCAAAAAAGGAGGATCCGTAATTTTTTTTTTCATTGTAAAAAAATTACGGATCCCCTAGCATTTATAATTTTTCTATTGTAAAGAATTGCCAATGCGTCTTTTTTGAACACCTGTTGCTATATGAAGGAGTTGCCAGATCGAATGAAAGTTTCCAAAAAACTTAACTTTTTTCTGTTTATACCGTACTTTTTGTGGTAGGCTAGGAATGAAGAACTGTTACTCAAAAAGCTCAAAAATTTCTATGAAAAGAAGTTTAAAAATAAAAATATAAAAAATTTTGTGCTAGGCTAAGCACTTTCCGAACTGCCCTCGTATAAAGAACTGTTCCTCAAAAAGCTCAAAAGTTTCTATGAAAAGAAGTTTGAAAATAAAAATATAAAAATTTTTGTGCTAGGCTAAGAACTTTCCGAACTGGCCTCCTATGAAGAAGTTTGAAGCTTCCAAAACACTAAATTTTTTTTCTGTTTATACCGCGCTTTTTGTGGTAGGCTAAGAACTTTCCAAACTGCCCTCGTATATATTGCTGTATGGCCTTAAAACTTTATATGACAGTATGACCTTCAAACTTCTTCATATAGACCAATTTCAAGCGTGTCTCTCTATAAAACAGTTGTAACTTCAAATGTCACATTGTAATATAGTTGGATCTTCAATGATATTTTTATAGACCACTTTAAGCTTCAATCATACATTTGCAGAAGAATTTGACCTTCAAAACTTCTCTATATATACAAAAGTTTGAACTTCAAACTTCTGCAGAGGGGATATTTTAATTTTCAATCTTCTGTATATTCAGCTTCAAACATTTGCATAAGGCCTTCAGTCTTCTATGTACAGAGCGGTTTGGCCGTCAAACTCTACCGTTGAGAATATATTGAGCTTCAAACTTGTGTATTTTTAGGCTAATTTGACCTTCAAACATATTCATATATAGTTTTATGACTTTAAAACTTTTTCATTCATAGTTTTATGACCTTCAAACCTCATAAAACATTACCGTTTTGCATTCAAACTTCTCTACGAAAAAAAAAATATTTCAAACATTGTCATATATGGTTGTTCGACCTCCAAACTTCTTAATACATTGCAGTTTTACCTTCAAACTTCTCTATGTAAACATATTTTAGGTTCAAACTTCGCCACATATGGTTGTTAGACCTTCAAACTTCTTAATGCATTACAGTTTGACCTTCAAACATCTCAGTGTAAAACAATTGGAGCTTCAAAGTATTGTTTATAACACCGTTTGACACCTCAAACTCAGTCATACACAATCGTTTAACCTTCAAACGTATCTATATAGAGCAATTTTACCTTCAAACCATTGTATATAAAATGAATGACCTTCAATATTCCTTGTATAAAACAGTTTAACCTTTATACAAGCTTTGTATAAAACAATTGCAGCTTCAAACACATCTATATTGAGAAGAGGAGCTTCAAACAATTCTATGTGGAACAATTAGAGCTTCAAACACTCATACTCTGATGCACAGCGGGATGAAAAGATGTTGCCTTGAACATTACTTCTGGATGTATGTTTGATGATCAAACTCATTACAAAATGTTGTCATGGCAGTGAAACCCATTTCAGGATGTCACTTCCATGATTGTCAAATTTATCTGCTTCATCTTCAAACACATTTCTAGATGTATATTTGATGATCAAACCCATCACTAGGCTATAGTTTGATAATCGAACTATTCCATTTATGTTGTATTCGAAGTCAAACATATCTCAGGATTTTAATTTGTTCATCAAATTCATTTCTGGGTCCTAGTACATCGTTCAAACTCATCTCAGGAGAACGGTTTAATCTCAATACTTATCACTAGATGTTGGTTTGATGATCAAACTCATGTCTAGATAATGGTTTGATTGTCAAACTTATCTCTAGATATTAGTATGAGAGTCAAACGTATCCCATAATATTGGTTCGATGATAAAAATTATCTCAAGATGTTGGATTAAAGATCAAACTCGGCTATATATTTTATGTGTTGGTAAAACTCATCTTTTGATGTTGGTTCGACGTCATACTGAACTTCAGAAATTACTTTGAAATTTCAACACCACACATCAAAATGTTTGATTGATCTTCATAGTCATCTCTGGATGTTGGCAAGCTGATCAAACTCATTTCAGAGTCATTATTATGTGATAAAAGTAATATCTGGTTGTTGATTTGAAGATCAAACTCCTCATATCTTGATGTTGGTTTGAAAAGCAAACGCGTCTTTGGATGTTGGTTGACCACCAAACCAACATCTCACAGCCAATCATCTCTGGGTATTATATATCAATAGATTTTAAATTGATTGTTAAAATCTGAATCTGGATAGTGGTATGACATTCAAATTCATCCCAGGATAATGACTACGTCATCGAAATCATCTCCAGCTGTTGGTTTAAGGGTCAAACTTCTATCTGAACTTTATGATAATAAAATTCATCTATGGATGTTGTTTTGGAGATCATTCCCACCTCTGGATGTTAATTCGACAATAATACTCACCTCTGGGTGTTGGTTTGGTGATCAAACACACTTTCTAATGTTGTATCGAACTCATTTTTTAATTGGTTTTATTTAGCTTAGTTTTATTTATTTATTTGTTTACCTAAGAAAATATTTCAATATTTTCTTTTTTTAATTTTAGGTACTGCCGCTTTACAACAAATCTACCTCAAACATAGCGTTCGATTACAACAGCGCTAACATTAATAGCAGCAACAAACAACAACAACAAGACCAACACTAAACTCCATTAACATGGATAAATCGATATAAACACACCAATTCCAACGAATCTTAATAGGGAACAACAAAAACAACACTGCAACCAATCACAGGAACAACCACAACACAGCCCATGGTCTCATTGTCGAAAGACAAACACATCCAACAACAACAACACGAAAATTTTCTCGCCTCAAACCCCCAACAACAATGAATTCAGACAGTTTTAGTGATGTTGTTGTAAACCCAACAACAAATAATCATCACAACAACAGTAATCTCAAATCATATCCAGCTTTAAGTAATGGCCATGAAAATGGTCACACCACCGTCACGACGGACAGGGAATCGGCTGTAGCCGATGACAAACCGCCCCACTTGGTAAACGGCCAGAGACGTGATTCGAATCAGGCCTGGACTCCACTCCTGCAAAATGGCAGCAACGGCAATACAAATACAACAACAAACAACGATGATAACCTCTCATTGGATGGCGGATTGGGTGGTGAACCCAGTTCGGACATCTATGCCGGGACAGGTAGCAATAACAACGAAGAATTGAAGAACCTCAAAAATGAAATGATGCACCACCATTCGCCGTTGCAATCGAACAACAACGGTTCACTGGTGAATGGCAAGAATGGCATTGGCCACACGGATAAATATGACGAACTGGATCCGCTGACTGGCCTTTACAAGCAAAAGCATGATATCGATGAGTCCGACAGCGATTCGCACAAGGCAAACGGTGAGGGTTGTGGCCTCTTCGGCTTCCGACCCAAATGGGCCAGTAAGTTGGCCTCGACCCATGTCTTTATGGTGGTGTTTCTAGTCGCCTACGTACTGCAGGGTATGTACATGACCTATTTTGTGTCGGTCATCACTACCATCGAGAAGCTGTTTCAGATCAAGTCCAAGACGACGGGTTTCCTGTTGAGTGCCAGTGAAATGGGTCAGATCAGTACGGCCATGTTGTTGACATATTTTGCGGGGCGTGGACATCGTCCGCGCTGGATTGCCTGTGGCATGGTGTTGTTTTCAATAGCTGCATTCTCCTGTGCCCTGCCACATTTCATATTCGGCAAAGATTTGCTGCAGACCACAGCCATGTCGTATAATAAAAATCGTCCCGATCCAATGGAAGATTTGATGGCCCCCAACCTGGCTGGCGATTTGCCATGGGGTCTGAACAATGAATCTAGTGTAACACTATCTCAGTTGGGTACCCAACATTTGGATTTGAATCTCTGTGTTTTGGGTAATCACACGCAAAATTCCACCACGGGTAAGTCTCAAGACCCCTTTCTCATCTTCAAAATACCAACATATTTATGAAAATCTGTTATCTTTTCCAGAATGCAATGAGGATCGCAAAATCGAACAGGCATCGCATTCGAAAATTACCGTTATCGTTTTGTGCATCTTCTTCGGCAGCTTGCTGAGTTCGGGTATTGGACAAACTGCCGTCTCCACGTTGGGCATCCCTTACATCGATGACAATGTGGCCAGCAAACAATCGCCGATGTACATGGCCATAACAATTGGTGTCCGTATATTGGGTCCAGCTTCTGGTTTTATTGTCGGCTCATTTTGTACCCGTTGGTATGTGAATTTCTCCAATCCCGGCTTTGATGCCAGTGATCCTCGTTGGATTGGTGCCTGGTGGTTGGGACCAGTGGGTATTGGCACCTTGATGCTGTTGTCCTCAATTGCCATGTTTTCGTTTCCACGTGAGCTGAGGGGTAAAAAGCCACCACCACCTGCCGCAGCAGAGGGTGAAAAAGTCGCCGATAGCCCAGCAGAACCTGAAGAGAAACCAAGATTGAGAGGTAAGTTTGAGGAATGGTTTGATGATGAAATGCAATTTCAGAGATGAGCTTGATCATGTTCAAATTTGTTTGATCATGTTCAAATCCTCAAACTTTCCTAAAGAAGCAAGTTCGAGTCTCAAACATTCCTACAGAAAAAAGTTTGAGCCCCCAACATTCCTATAGAAAAATGTTTTAGCCTTTGAGCCTGAAACTTTTATATAGGCACAAGTTCGAGCCTCAAACTTTTCTTTAGAAACAAGTTCGTACCTCAAACTTTCCCATAGACAAATGTTTAAGCATCAAACGTTTCTATAAAAAAAAGTTCGAGCCTCAAAAAATTCTATATAAACAAGTTGGGGCCTCAAATAATTCTATAGAAACAAGCCCTAGCCTCAAATCATTCTATAGAAATAAGTTTGAGCCTGAAACTTTCCTATAGAAACAGTTTGAACATCAAATATTTCAAGGGAAAAACATTTTAGCCAAAAACTTCTCTATACGATCCAGTTCAAGCAACGAAAATGTTCGAGCCTTAAACTTTGAATGCCAAACTTCTCTTCTTACCCTTCTTCTCTTCCCATCCCTTTCAGATTTCCCCAAAACCGTTCGCCGCCAATTAAGCAACGACATTTTGATGTTCCGTACCGCCTCATGTGTTTTCCATTTATTACCCATTGCCGGTCTGTATACCTTCCTGCCGAAATATTTGGAAACCCAATTCCGTTTGGCACCCTATGATGCCAATATGATTGCCGCCTTTTGTGGTATTTTGGTTATGGGCATTGGCATTGTTATATCCGGACTGGTTATATTGAAATTGAAACCCACAGCCAGATCTGTGGCAGCATGGATTGCCTTGACAGCCTTGGTGTATTCAGCCGGTATGGTCATACTAATGTTTGTTGGTTGTAATATGAATGATTTTGCCGGCTATAAGACTGCCAACAGTATTGGGTAAGTAGAAATCTGATGGCTTCGATGATCTTGTAATAAATTGTAATTCCAATTCCAGCCCCGCCACCATTGAACCAGCCTGCAGTGCTGCCAATCTCTGTTCCTGTGACAAGGAACAATTTGCCCCGATTTGTGGTATTGATGGTAAAATTTATATATCACCCTGTCATGCGGGCTGTTCGACGGCCAGTATGCGTAGCAGTGATAATCATACGGTCTTCTCCAATTGTACATGCATTCCAGATGGTAAGGGGATTAAAAAAAAGAAATATACATTCCATTAATTTGAAATTGTTGTCCTTTATAGTTACCGATCCCTTGCTTACCTCGCTACCCAACTTTGAGGCCAGCAGCGGTTATTGTGATAGTAATTGTAAAAATTTCATTGTTTTCATTGTGATTTTTGCTGTCTGTGTATTTATGCACTCAACATCGGAGGTGGGCAGCATGTTGCTGGTAATGCGTTGCACCCATCCCAAAGGTAGGTTAAGAGATTATAAAATTCTAAATTTTAAATTTTGGTTGTGATAATGAAATTATTTTTTTTTCTTCCAAATTTTCAGACAAAGCAATGGCCATGGGTGTCATACAATCGGCCATTGGTCTATTTGGTAATGTTCCTTGCCCCATTATCTATGGTGCTGTGGTGGATTCGGCTTGTCTCATATGGAAATCGGTTTGCGGTAAACATGGAGCATGTTCATTATACGATGCCGACACCTTTAGGCATTACTTTTTAGGTAAGGAAACAGGTTTAATAACAAAAATTTGAAGAGTTGCTGGAGGTTATCTGTTATCTAAATGATCATTTGGAGGTTCATTAATTTCTTATAGGTCTGAAGAGCCTGTCCTTAGAAAATCTTGTAAAATTATGATATATTTAAAGATATATTTCAAGGTCTTTGGGTGTTCACTAAGGACTTATCGATATTTCAAAATGTATTTTGCAAGGAGGTTATCTTTTATTACAGGAACATTAAAAGGTTCAGTAATCTCCTAGACAACCACCAAAACAAGTCCACAGAAAATGTTGCAAAAATGTATTTTTTCAAGGTCTTTAGACTGTAAATACGTCCAAAACGTTGATCTATACATGTGTTCCTATTCGCTTCCTCCTTGCTAAATGGATTTTGTATATTGTCTCAAAAGTTTTCAGTAGATATATTCTTCTGTGGACTTTTGTGTCTTTTGTCTATAAAATAGTTGACTTCAAAAACATAAGTTTTTTATCTAATTGTCATTTACCTACAATAGGTCAAAATATCTACAGATTTCACTGACATTCCATTGTCTGTTTTTAGAAGGACCGCCATATGTATTCTAATTAAAAAACTCCCTTCTGTATGCAATTCACCTTTAGATATACAAGACCTACATCATCATGTCCTTTCTAAACTATTTTTTGTCTCTGGAATAACATCATGAATTAAGACGAACTTCTAGTGGTATTATGTATATAGACGTCTTCCAGAATTCTCGGCTACAGAAAAATTATCTAAAAGTCATCGGCCTATCTAGGTAGTAGAAAAAAAGTTGACCTACTGTCTGTGGGTGGCTTCTGTTTATTGTGTCCTATTCTGAGTATAACCTCTATCTCTTCTAAAAATCGAAATCCTAAAGACTATCTTGTATTTATAGAAGACTATCAATCAATATCAATCTATTGAAGACCTGCAAGGTCTCTTATGCACATAAAAGTTCTCCTAGAGATATTCATTTTATACGGGGTATTTTGAAGCACTTCTGTCTATAGATCGAAAATTAATAGCCTGGGTGCTTAAAATATATTTTTAAAAATCCTTGAATGATATGTTTAAAAAAACACACCCAAAAATAATCTATAACCAGTAAGGAAATTAGTAAAGTCATTGTAGGCTTAATTCAGTAAGCTGTGCCACTTTGGGTATATTGTGCATTTGGTGCACCATTTAGATAAAATCGGACAATAATATATATGGGAGCTATATCTAAATATGTACCGATTTTTACGAAACTTACCACACATAATTCTAGGCTTAATTCAGTACGCTGTGCCAAATTTCGTGCAAATCGAAATATACTTAGGGACTTAAGTGCACCATTTACATAAAATCGGACGAAAATGTATATGGGAGATATATCGAAATCTGACCCGATTTTCACGAAGCTTAGCACACATAATTCTAGGCTTAATTCAGTACGCTGGGCAAAATTTCGTGCAAATCAAAAGATATTTAGGGACTTTGGTGCACCATTTACATAAATTCGGACGAAAATATATATTGGTTCTATATCTAAATCGGACCCGATTTTCACGAAACTTAGCGCACATCATTCTAGGCTTAATTCAGTACGCTGTGTAAAATTTCCTGCAAATCGAAAGATATATGGGACTTTGGTGAACCATTTACATTAAATCGGACGAAAATATATATAGGAGCTATATCTAAATCTGAAACGATTTTTTCCAATTTCAATAGGGTTTGTCCTTGTGCCAAATAAGTGGCGTGTGCCAAATTTCATCCAATTCGAATATATATATATATAGTACATTTACATTAACATGGACATTATGCATATTCTCAAATCTAAACCGATTTCTATAGGGTTCCATGTGTCTCAAATAAGTGACATGTGCCAAATTTCATCCAATTCGAATAATAAATGTGACCTGTACTTTGTTTACAATTAAACTTGGGCAGACAGACGGACGGACGGACGGACGGACGGACATGCATAAATCGACTTATAAACTGATTCTATGCATATTCTCAAAAGGAACCATGTGTCTATCTCATTTCCTTTTGCCTGTTACAAACATATGCACATAGACATAATACCCCGTTGTACCAATTGTAGTAAGGCAATTTCTGCTTTGTCCATGATAGTCCTTGAAAAAATTTTTGAAAAAATCCACAACACAATTACTTTACTGCAATTTATATAATAAAATATATAAAAAATAAATAAAATATTAAAAAAAAAAATCCATGAATGTCCTTCAAAAATAATCTGTAAAACACTCATGTCCATGATAGTCCTTGAAAATAATACACACTCACCAAGACATGCTAGCCCCACGCCTATAATAATGGTAAAAAATATGCGCCAATAATATCACGTTTACATTTAACCGGATTTCGTTAATCCAGTGGGTTTCAATTGTCAATTCCTTTGCATATATGTCAAATAAATCCTCATAAATTAGGTTAACCCAGTAAAAAATTCTAATGTATATGCCGTTTAATCACTATTAAATATATAAAATATATTTTTAAAGAAATGCACACTTATCAGCACCTTACAAATATGTTTTAAAAAATAGAAATAGAAAAAAATATTTTTTCAATGGCTATCAACATTGAAAAAATATTATTTTTCTAAAAATGTTTAAAAAAAATTGGAATTTTGCCATTCTAGTCCTTAAAAAAATATTTTCGAATACTCAAATACTAATTATGTGATTCTTTTCATTTTTCCCTTCAGGTATTACGGCTGGTATTATGTTCTTGGCCTTTATTATGGATCTAGTTGTTTGGAGTAAAGCCCACCGTATTGATATTGCACCCGAAGAAAATAAAAAAGATGGCGATGATGGTGACACAAAATCAACAGAGACTGAATATAAGAAGGCATCAACAGTTGCACCAGATACCAGAGTATAAAAGAAATCATAACAACAAAAAATTATAATACTACAAAAAACAACGCACATTGTTATGTTACACCCCATATACACACTCTCACTCACTCACACACATACATGCAAACACACATTCATAGCGATTTTATAAAAACTCTAAAAAATATTGTTTTTTTTAATTCAAAACATTTTTTTAAAACAGTATAATTTATAAAAAACAACTATTTATTAGTGGGGAATGTATGGCATTGTTTGCCGAGGGGTAAGGCAGGGAAGACTATAGTTTCGGATCACGCCACTGATTTTTAAAACTATAATTTTGTAAGTGGATTCTACTCAATTCATAATATATATTTTTGCACAATGTGTGTAAATATATATTGGATTTTTTTGTATAACATTTATATTTGTACGTGGTATAAACATCCGAAAATATTGTTGTTTTTTCTTTTTTTTTGCATACCATTATTATAGTAGTATTTTTTTAATATTTTTTTATTTTTAATTGTCTGTTTTAATGAGTATAATTTCGATTATTATTTGAAATAGCCTTTTTTGTTTTTTTTTCATTTTTTTAGCTACGCCAATATTTTATTTGAAAACTACGATATATCAAAATCTTTTCCAATATCCTTTGAAAGGATATATAATTTTTTCTCTATTTGCTCACTCCAGTGAGGTGATAGTTCTGCTGTTAACATGTATCATCAGAACGATAGGAACTGTTCCCCTCTTGGGAAATAGGATTTTGAAAAATATTTTCTAAAGTTCTACCATAGTTGGTGGACATTTATTTAAAAAAAGGCTGCTGGATGTCGTATTTTTTGAAAAACACACTCATATAAATCGTTGAAAAATATTTCCAAAAAATCTTCGCAAGCTAAAAGCCTTTGGGAATGTATTTAAAAATAAACACGCCTATTGAGTGGTTCAACTACAGTAGTGTCTGACATTTTTTTAAATAAAGTCGAAATCGCTTTTAATGGCGGTCAAGGGACCGGTGAAATTTGTCGTCGTAAACGCAGTCGATATAAACAATTTCTTTTGTATACAATTTCTATATATCTTTAAAAATCCACAACGATTATATGCGGCTTAAAAAAGTTAGCTGAAAAATATAACTTTTAAAAAGCGATCTTTAAAAAAAAATTTTTTTCTAATTCCAAATGTTTTTTAAGAAATCCATAACTTTCAGAGTGACTAAGAAATCCATAACCTCTAGAGTGACTAGGGAATCCATAACCTCTGGAGTGACTGAAAATATTTTTAGAAACCCCACATAGGCTGAAAAGGTATTTTTAAAGAACATAAACGGCTTCCATACATTCTTTAAAACAACGACGCAGACTGTAGGTCTTGGAAGGTATTTTTAAAATAATCGTTTGGACAGTAGGCATTTAAAATTTGAAAGTTTTACAAAATATTTTTAAGAAATACACTTCACCATAGGCTTTTGAAAATATATTAAAAAACAACTACTACTAAAAAATAATTAAAAAATATTACACACACGATATGAATATTTTCAAAAAAAATCTTCTGAAAAAATATTTTATTTTTTTGGGTCCGTGCCCAAAACAAATTTTTTTAAAAATTCAACTCCGACAATCGAAAAATTAAAATTATGTTAAAAACAGTAAGCGTAGCAGTATAGTCCTGTGCTACGCTTGGAAAATATTCACCGTGGTTTGTGTTGTTCGGCTTGTGGCCGAAAACTTAATTTTTTGTGTTTTTTTCGATTCGACTACAAACTCGAAAAAACACAAAAAATTAAGTTTTCGGTCCACTTCATCCCAATATTGTTATCTGATCATCACCGAAAAATATTGGCGTTGTCCTTGACCATACCTGGAACCTCATGGAACATTTCAAAGCGCTATATTTTCGCCATCTAGTGTGATAATGGTTTATTAAATAATATCTGAATACGTAAGCACCTGTAAATATTTAGGTGTAACTCCCACATCAGAGTACATACAGCCATATAATTCAATTTGAAGGTCAACAGCTCCTCTTGGACATACTATCAACTTCTCGCGTCTATGTCCTTCAGGAGTAAATATATACGCTATAAAATACAAATTTTGCAATTTTTCACACAAAAGTCAGGGTCGATATGGCCAGCTAAATATTGACCGACCTTTTTCAAAACAGACATGCTTATTCTTTAGGCCGCTCCCGTTCTCCAGGTTCGGGCCAAAATTGCGGCCGGACAAAAATTTAATATTTGGTCCATTCCATCATCTAAATATTAACCGATCTTTACCAAAAACAATTGTTGTTGTTGTAGCAGCCCTATTGCTTTTACACAACGGGCTGAGGTGACAGACGTTGGCCGAGTAAGACTCGGGTCGTTTCGTCCCCTAAACGACAAAAAAAAAACAGTAGGCAAAATTTACTTGCAAAATTTCGTGAAGATTGGTCAATAACTGTGGCGTGTATCGTTTTTACAAATTATAATGGGCAGACGGACGGACACACATATCTAGATCGAGTCAGATAGTCGAGATATGACTATCGGTATACTTAAAGGTGGGTCTAGGACCAATATTTCCGGCGTTAAAAACTCTTGGGGCTGCACAAAGCTATAAAACCCTGACAACATTGTTGTGTAGGGTATAAAAATCAATACGCCTTGAAAAAATCATTTTATAAATAAAAATTCACACCGACTATAGGTCTTAAAAATAATATTGAGAAGAATGCAAATCTAATGTAGGGTCTGAAAAATTTTTTTTTTATTCGACACCGACTGCAGGCCTTTAAAATAAGTGAGGCGCTTCAAAGTAGCTATTTTATGAGTTCATAGTTTTCTATAAAATTGGCGTTTGTTTTCTAAAAAAAATATTCCCTTCTATTTAATTTTATTCGTATTTTTTTAATCATACATTTGTAGTCTTAAATAGTCGACGTACATATGTAACTATGTGCAATCTAATTTATCTCCATAGTATAAACAAAAAAAATAAAAATACAATGATACGTCATAATTTTATATTTAACTGTTATAATTTTATAAGAAAAAAATTAACATTTTGTTTCAATTATTCCTTTGTATGACACTAATTTGAAATTAAATGTTAAATGTAATTTTTTTATGTATAAGAATAAAAACTACTCCTACTTTTAATAAATAATAATAATTATATATTAATAATAATAAAAAAGAAAAAAAACGAAAAATATTGGAAATCTCAGTTAAATAAATATATAAAAAATATAAAAAAACATAATTAATGGTTTGAAAAGAGAAAGCAAAATAAAGCGAATGATGACTGATAAATAAAAATAAAATAAAATGATTGTTGTGCTATACGGGAAACGCAACGAAATCCATATTATGGAAAAAACAACAGAATAGAAGCAAATGGATTTATTAAAATCTAAGAAAGAAAAAAAAACAAATACTATATAATTATAAGAATGATGTCATTAGTATATTTACATGTTATAAAAAACACAATGACACTAATAACGTTATAATATAAAACATACATATGTTATTAATATACATTTACACATTAAAGAAAATAAATTGCAACCTATCTGTGGTAGTTATTATTTAGTTAAAATTAACAACACATTTTTTTTATTTTTTGTGTATAATTATTAAGTTATTATTTTTATTTCTTTTTCTCATTATTATTATACTTTTTATATATTAAATAAAACTAAATTGTAAAAGTGAAAAAAAAACGAAAACAGAAATGAAAAATCAAAATCCACAAAAAATACATATTTCCAAAAAAAAATCTTTACAAGACATTAAAACGATTGCATTTCAATTTAAAAATAAAATGTAATAATAAAAATAATGAATATAATATTAAAAATTATTTGAAATTATATAAAGTGGAAATGCCTCTCGGCAAATGGCAAATATTTTGTAGTTCACACAAAATGTTGAAATCGTAATAAATACTAAGTGTTTTAAATGTGTTATAACTGTTTAAACAAACCGAAACACGAAAATTACCTCTGAAAGACAACAAAAACAAAATAACAACAACAACCAATATTAAAACGTGTATCAATTGAAATAAAATTGCATTTATGTATCAATATCAAAACAAACAAGAATTTTTTTGTTTTTATAGTTTTACAATATTTGGTAATGGAATTCAATGGAGCTAGGAAAAATATTGAACTATATTTAAGTGGACCCCACCCATTCTCGGTTTCAAAAAATTTAATTTTTTATTTTGATTTCATTTGAACCTAGACTAATTAAAGAATGTTCAAGTGAAAATCTCAACAATTTTTGAAGATATAGCCGATTTATTGTGTTAGCATCAGGTGACAGCAAGAGGGCTTCTCAAACTTTAAACGCGTTTTTCTCCAAACAGGGTTTTTGCGACGATTCTCTGTGAGTGTACAGCTATCGTAGGAATTTTTTAACTTTGTTTGTGGTCAAAAATAGGCGATTTTTCAAAAAAAAAAAAAAAAATCAAGGTTCCGCCATTTTGTTCATTGTTGTGCGAAGTCAAAAATCCTTGTTCATACGAGAGCCAGACATGTACTCTTTCTAACACCGTTAGAATTTTCGGATTCCGATGTTCCTTAGGAATAATCCCTTAGGAATAATGAGCAATCCAAAGTCTTGCAACTCGTAACGTTTCCGGTCCCTCATGATACCATGTGGTTTCCTGTTCCTTTTGTAATTGCTTTCGTTTTTCTTCTTCATTCTGTTTTTGCTTTATGGCATTTTCGCCTAAGCTTGCCAATAATTCCCGCAGGCGTCTTCTACGCTCCGCCGGACCTTCTCCAAAGTAGCATATTGGTTCATTCAATTATCGCAAATTGCGTTTAATTTCCGCATCGTCTGTGGATACATTAATTTGGAGGGCACGTTTCTCGCGCTCAAATTCCTCCAGCAGAGCAACTTTATCTTTCGAAATTTCCGTCTCCAAATCAAAGTAATCATCCAATTGGATTTTTTTAAAGTAATTTTTTTCAAGGGCTTGGATTTTGTTAGAATTATTTTTTTCTAAGGCTATAACAGGTGTGGTTTTTTTAAATATTTTTCCAAGGGCTATAACAGGCGTGTATTAAAAAATCTTTAAGGACTACAATAGACGTGGGGTTTAAATATTATTTCTTCAAGGGCTATTGTATTCGTGGGATAAAAATTAAAAAAATATATAAACGACTTTGATGTTTACCATCGTAGATTTTCAAAGAATATTTTTACATGAACTTTAAAATCTAAATCCTTGATTTTCAAGCAATTTTTCGATGATTTTTAAACCTATCCCTGTGAATTTTTAAAGAGTAAAACAAGTTTGCTTTTATTATGGTTGACATGTTTTGAATGCACTTTATTAATGTTCGTTTTTATTTATATTTTAATTTGTATGGATGTGGTAAAAAGAAATAAAACAAATTAATACAACAATGGCAGTAACTCTATATTACAATAACATCAAAAATTAAATTACATTGATTTTTTTTAATGAAGAAATTTCGTTTGTTTTTTTTTTCTTTCTTTATTTATCACTTCTTTTGTTTCAATAAGCTTAAATAAAGAAACAAAAACAATGGAAGTGAACTTAATTTATTTATTTTTCTATTTATTTGCATTTTATGTTGTGTAATGAAGGTACCCAAAACTAAAATAGGTAGATATAACAAATTAATATATGTATATATTTCTAGTTAAACATTAACAAAGAAGCAGATTTTTTTCTTCAAACATTCGTTGAAAAGCTAATATGAAAATCTGTTATTCAAAACGCTGGGAAATTTATCAAGCGATAAATGCAGCAAAACTCGTTAACATACATACATTTTTCGAGTTTTGAAAATGAAATACATTTTCCAGTTGACCCAAAGAGATTTAAAAAAAATGCATATTGTTTCTTGTTAGTATGAAAGAACAATGCTACCAAATTATTGACCAGTCACAAATTTCAGACTTAAGGGGAATATTTTGGGGAGACATCGAAGTACTAGCAATCCGATGACCATAATTTAAATGTTCTATCAAATGATGTTGTAACAATGAAATTCGAATTCGGTGAAATGTCGAGGGACACAACTTTGCCATCGTGACCCTGTAAGGTTTTAAGCGGTTGCCATGTTTTGTTCGACCATATTTTGGTGGTGCAATCGTATGAACATGTGGCCAGAAAACTACCACCGTCTCGTTGATATTTTACATCGGAAATTAGATTCAGATGGGCTGGTATGGTATAGACCGGTTGACGACGTCTTAGATCCCATATTTTACAAGTATTATCCTGGGAACCGGTGGCAATGTGAAAACCGTTTGGTGAGAAATCCACACCAAATATTGAACCCAAATGTCCCTCAAGGAACATAATGCAACGACCTTGAAAAATAACATTTGATTAGTAAAATATATACACCATTTTCCATTGGTATCCAACATACCTGTTCGTAGATCCCACACTCTGCCAAATGCATCTAAGCCACCGGTAACAATAACACTGCCTTCATGCTGAAAACTAAGACAATGCACAGCCTTGGCATGTCCCTCTTGATGTAGAACTTCTGTCTTTTGTTCCAGATCCCACAGACGCCAGGAGGCATCATAACAAGCTGTGGCCAAGAATCTTCCAGATGGATGAAATCCTAATTTAGACACACGATGTGGCATATGCCCTGTTATATCGGCAATTGATTCTTCCGAATTGAATCCCCAAAGTTTTACAGAACCATCATGACCACCTGATGCCATGGCCACCACATTTTCTTCATCCCGTTTGACACCCGGCCGAAAAGCCACACCACCCACATAACTGGTATGACCACGTAGCGTCTGTTCCAATTTACAGTCAGGCACTGACCACACTTTACACAACCCCGACCATGATGAGGTAACCAATAGCGTGGAATCATCATTAAAGGCACTACCACTTAGTGGTCTGGTATCTCCCACTTGACTGCAATGTGGTCCCAACGACTGTAAACGTTTTTGTAACTCAACCATTCGCCCTGCTCTCGTGGCACTGGGGACCTCAAGTGCCTGTCGGGCTTTTTCCAAACGTTCCTTGGCCCTCGGCAAGGAATAGTGAGCAATCCAAAGTCTTGCAACTCGTAACGTTTCCGGTCCCTCATGATACCATGTGGTTTCCTGTTCCTTTTGTAATTGCTTTCGTTCTTCTTCTTCATTCTGTTTTTGCTTAATGGCATTTTCGCCTAAGCTTGCCAATAATTCCCGCAGGCGTCTTCTACGCTCCGCCGGACCTTCTCCAAAGTAGCATATTGGTTCATTCAATTGTCGCAAATTGCGTTTAATTTCCGCATCGTCTGTGGATACATTAATTTGGCGGGCACGTTTCTTGCGCTCAAATTCCTCCAGCAGAGCAACTTTATCTTTCGAAATTTCCGTCTCCAAATCAAAGTAATCATCGGTGATTTTATTGGCTAGGGCGGCAGCTGTTGGTGGTGGTGCTGACTGAGCTGCAGCTCCCTGTGTATGTTTCTTCTGATCATCCGCATAGTCTTCATCCGAATCGATATCTTCCAATTGGGCAGCAGCACCCGTCGCTGTTGCTAATCCTGTTGCTGTCGCTGACGTCGCTGCAGCTGCTGCGCCACCAGTAGTGGATGATGCCAAACGCTTTCGTTCAACTTCCTCCAGCGAGCCATAGTAGAGAGTTCGTTGCCGTTTAATATATTGAATATCTTCATCGTCGGACATATTATTCGGATATGTGCAAACGAAGAAATAAAAATAATTTACAGAATTACAAGTTTTCCGAACCAAAAAAAGTTTGCCAAACAACAATTGAGGAAAATAAACGGAACGACACAAACGATAAACGTACACAATGCTTTGCCGCCGCCGGCGTGCAGAATAGAGCACGTTTATTTACAACGCTGGATGTGTTTACATTGTGAAGTCGAACAGAATGTTGGCGTTTAATGAATGCAAAGTATACAACGTTTACATAGAGCAGGAGAATCAAGAGATAAAGTGTTTTAAATGTAAATATAAGGAAAAAATCGCCATTCTACTTAGTGGAAAGTGAGCCAAAAAAACGTTGCTCTTATGGATTTGAATATCTATAAAAAATTTCAATAAATATCTATGCTTGAATTTTGTATATGCTTGCAGTACGTGAACGGATCATACAAGTGGCCTGTTCCCGTACTGCAAGAATCTACTATTTTTACTACGATAACACTTTTTTCCTTTATGATATCGAAATAAAATAAAATGAACGCCTGCAATAGTAGATTATTGCAATACGAGAACAGACCAAATATTGTTGTTTTTCTAATATAATTAATTTCTTCCCGTATTGCAAGAATTTACAAAAAATAGTAAAATTTAGTAGATTCTTGCCCTACGGGAACAAACCAAAAAATTTATACGATATTTAAGGAATCGTTCAATTGAACTAGTTTATTCGTGAACTAAAAACTCTATTCTTGAGTGTTTATGTTATCGATAACACCTTACACGACAGATAACCCATAATCGATAATCGATTAAATTCTTCACAATTTTTTTCGTCAAAAACGACGAATAGACAGCTTAACTAGAATTGCATTGTAAAAATATTGAAAAGAAAAATAGAAAAAAATATTTATAATCTCCTCTCAAATTTATCATAAAACAAAATGTCGGCCACCGATCAAATGAGGGCTATGCTGGACCAATTGATGGGCACAACAAGAAATGGTGACGATGGCCGTGGCTTGAAATTCTCTGATCCTCGTGTGTGCAAGAGTTTTCTGTTGGATTGTTGTCCTCACGACATCTTGGCATCGACACGTATGGATTTGGGCGAATGCCCAAAAGTACACGATTTGGCATTTCGTGCTGATTACCAGAATGCGGTAAAATCACGAGATTATTACTATGACATCGAGGCAATGGAACATCTGCAGGCGTTCATTGCCGACTGTGACAGGCGCACCGAGGCGGCCAAACAACGTCTCAAAGAAACGCAGGAGGAACTTACGGCCGAGGTGGCAGAGAAGGCCAATGCTGTGCACGCTTTGGCCGAGGAGATTGGCAAGAAGCTGGCCAAGGCAGAAGCCCTGGGCGAGGCGGGTGAGGTCGAGGAGAGTATGTCGCTGATGAAGGAAATTGACGAGCTGCGTGCAAAGAAAATCAAAGCTGAACATGAATATCGCACATCAATGCCTGCCTCAACGTATCAACAGCAAAAGTTGCGAGTGTGCGAGGTGTGCTCGGCATATTTGGGAATACACGACAATGATATACGTTTGGCTGACCATTTCGGCGGTAAGTTGCATTTGGGCTTTTTAACCATTAGGGAAAAACTGGCCGAGTTGGAGAAGACAGCGGGGCCACGTAAGGCCGAATTGAAACGCACTGGCAAAATACACGAACGTGATAGTGAACGTTCCCGGTCACGTTACTTTGTGGGTGGCCGCGAGTTGGATAGACGTTCGCGGGTACATCGGTCTCGATCACGAGAGAGACGTCGTGGTGGCGGCGGCGGTGGAGGCGATGGTGGTTCTAGCACATCTGGTGGACGATCGGATCGTAAAGATCGTAATGAATCACGCAGAGGTGGTGGTGCTGGCAGTGGTCGTGGTAGTCCTGATAGACGGAGATCACGTTCCCGTTCACGTGGCCGCAGCTATAATTCCCGAAGACGATCATCATCTAGAGACCGTTATCGTCGCTAGATAATAAGCAGATTCTTGTCTGTGTGTGCGTGTGAAGGGAAAATGGATGTTACATCCAGCAAAATGAAGATCATGGTGGTGCGAATGGCCCCGCGGTAGAAAACACATCATAAGAAAATCCTAATTTTAAGTCTAGATGACAATTCAATAGCAGCACGTATGTAAATTCAAATTTTTGTTTTTTATTTTCTCATTCTAAATATTATCGATAATAATATTGTCCAATATTTAATTATTATAACTACTATATTTTCTTATTTAATTTCAATATTCACACAAAACAAAGAAACACACACATACATACATTAAACATCAATCACAAAACACAAATAATAACATTAATTTTAGATTTAAATATAATGTTTGTACATTAATCTATGATGCTATTGTTTCTTTCTTCTTCAAAACCCCACAACAACAACAACATTGGTTTTTACATGTTGCGGGATGGTATCAACAAAAAAGAGATTATTTTCTAGAGGTGGTGTGGTGTTGTTGATTGCTAGGTGAAATGTCCTGAATCGAATTGTCTCGAATGAATGAATAAATGAGACCACCGGGTACGTAGTGTCAGAAACATTTTAAAGTAGTATAGCATTAATTTCAGGCTTTCAACGCATAAAGCTCATAGGAGGCCCAACAACTTCCACCAATTCCAAACGATCCGTTCGACCAATGTCGTCGTATGTATATATATGTACCTAATATGCGATCCAGTTCTTCCTCTTCTTCTTGTTTTGGGTAAGAGCAAATAACCAAACAATATTCACGATCAATAAAAGCAGTCAAACAGTAAAAAAATATCAACCATTTTTAAATGTAATTCCTACGATTTTTTTCATTTGAAATGCAAAATGTCTTTGAATTTGCCTTTTACTCCAATTATATATTATTCAAAAATAATATATAATTGGAGAATATATACCAAATGTTTAATAAAAATATAATATTAAAATACTTTTGATGTTTTCTCAAAATTTTAATTTTTATTTAATAAAAAGTATTTTTATGTATATTTTTCTCTTTTACGATTGGAAGTGATTTTTTAATAAATGTTAACATTAGCTTAAACATGTTTTCAAAAAATAGATAACTTCTTTAAATTAACAATATAAATTGGTTCGTCCTCTGTGTTAGTTTGGAATAATCTTTCTCTCTAGTCAGAAATATTTTTTATTAACAATATTTAAATATTTGATAAAAATGCAAAATTAATATTGGCAATGTTTTCTATGTTCAAATTTAAATTTTTTTATGTTATGCCTATTTTTTATTAATTGATTATTTTTGAAATTTCACTTGAAAAAAATAATTATGGAATTACATGTAAAATGGTTTTTCAATATATGATCACTTCAAATATTTTTTCGATATTTCTTTTCTCAAAGATGTATATCACGCCCCAAATGTTGTACCTCAGATTAGATTTTCGGGTATGTATAAAAAAAAACTGATAATAAAATGCCGATGTAAGGAGATGACCACATTCCGCTAGTAATTGGTGAGCACAATAAGCTATACTATGTTGATGTTGTTGTTAGTTGATTATTAACCAAACAAAAAATGCGTACAAAACAACAAAAACAAACAAAACCTTTCTATTTATGATACACATTTTTACAGATTTTTTTCAATTAGGAGAGATGTGTGTTTTTCATAATCACATAACCAAAAAAATATTCGTTTGGTACCACGATACAGAGTGTAACCACCAATCATGTACGTATGTATGATCTGTATGTCATCACCCAACCAGGTTTTTTCCTTTTTGGTACGTATTTCTCCACTACTTTAAAACATGTTTTATGCATTTTCTTTATGCGGTGGAATATTGAAATTGAAAAATATGTGGACCGTCATCGTTGTTAGTTTGGAATAATCTCTATACTCCGTCCCATACCACCCGACTATTTAAGTGAGTAAAAAAGTATTTTACATAAAAAAAAATCCCACCCGAACAAAAACAAAAATCAAGTAATAAGTTTTGTTTCCTTAAAGAATTTTATTTTGTTTTTTTTTCAAATTCGATTCTTTGATGCTGGTTGGTTGGGTACGTATTATAAAAATATTGATATACAAGTGGTATATTTTTTTATTGTTGTATTTTAACATCAGTTGAGTTTAAGGTCCTCCGAGAATATATACTTTCATTATAATATCCTTCTATTAAGAAAGGTGGATATGTTAAGTTTTGTCACAAAAATAAAATGAAAATTAAACGCTGCTTGGATTTGAGTTGTTACGCCATTTTATTGATTAGAAGATAATTGGTAGAAAAAAAACGTCTTTGTCGATAGTCGTATCAATCATCGAAATTCAATTAGGTTTGGAAAAAATATTACAATAGGAAAAGTGCATGTCTTTGTGGCTGTAAATAATTTTGATCAAACCAGGTTTGATCAACGAGATTTGGTTAAATGGCGTTAAGGGAACCCCCCCATTCTCGATTTTATTTTTTCAAGAATTTCAATGGGCTGGTAAATCAATACCAATGCTTGTTAAGGTTTGTAACTTTGCATATATATATTTGCAGATTTAAAAGAGAAGAAAAATAATTTACAAAAAAATTTTGTGATTGTTTTGTTGTTGTTTTTTGTAATTAAAGAGAAGTCCTTATTTTTCATGGAGGGCATGATAACTCCTCACTGGAACATCGGAATCCGAAAATTCCAACGGTGTTAGAAAGAGTACATGTCTGGCTCGTGTATGAACTAGAATTATTGACTTCGCTCTAAAATTAACAAAATGACGGACCTTTGAACAGATATTTTTCGAAAATCGCCGATTTTTGACTAAAAACCAAGTTAAAAAATAAGGAAGATATTCACCGATTGGCTTTATCCCGATAGCTATACACTCACAGAGAAACGTTGAAAAATTTGGAATCGATTGGGTTATTAGTTTTTGAGTTATCGTGTCCGCCATTCGCAAAAGAGAAAAACGCGTTTAAAATTTGAGAAGCCCTTTAGCCGTCATTTGATGCTGACACAAAAAATTGGCTATTCTTGAGATTTTCACATGAAATTTTGTAGGGACAATCTTGAATTAGTGTAGATTCGAATTAAATAATAAAAAAAAATTGACCCCGAGAATGGGGGGTCCCCTTAAGCCATTTTCTAGAAATTTTGTAGGGACATTCTTGAATTAGTGTAGATTCGAATTAAATCAAAAAATTTTTGACCCCGAGAATGGGGGGTCCCCTTAAGCCATTTTCTAGAACAGCTATATAAAGATGTAGAAGAACTCGTTGGGGCCGAAATGTTTGTATATTTAAATGAGGTGGGCATTGAAAATATTTCAAATCGGTCGAGAACCTTATACATGGAGGTTAGTTAAAATAGGGAACTATGTAATTCCTAAATTGTCTGCCTGTAGTTTTATATTCTGAGAAATGTGAGTGAAAATAGAAAATTTTCTCTTTGAATAATTTTTTGAGAAACAAAAAAACATGGAAAGCCAATTTTCCGCCACTTCGTATCGTATACCTTAAATAGGCCGGAACATTGTTATGATGGCTGCTATTCCAAAGATGGACCGTTTTATTATATTTTAAAATTAGGATCAAATATATATATATACACCACACTCTGGTGCATGGTATGTCTTTGTGCATATGTTTGTAACAGGCAAAAGGAAACAAGATAGACTCATAGTTGCTTTTGATAATATGCATAGAATCATTTCTGAGTCAATTTATGCATGTCCGTCCATCCGTCTGTTGGTGTTAAATTGTAAAAAAAAAACTATAGGTCGCATTTATAATCCGATTTGGATGAAATTTGTGGAAATCGATTCAGATTTATATAATTAATAATAGCTACCATATATATATATATATATATTTTCGTCCGATTTTATATAAATGGTGCACCAAAGTCATATATATATATATATATATATGCGTACCAACTTTCTTGAAAATCGGTTCCGATTTAGATATAGCATATATATATAGTTTGATTTTATGTAAATGGGCAAAACGAAGTATATATATGAACTTTGGTGTCCTATATATACTTCGTTTTGCACGAAATTTGTCACAGCGTACTGAATTAAGCCTAGAATTATGGGTGCTAAGTTTCGTGAAAATCGGGTCAGATTTAGATATAGCTACCATATATATTTTCGTCCGATTTTATGTAAATGGTGCACCAAAGTTCCTATATATCCTTCGATTTGTACGAAATTTTGCATAGCATACTGAACTGAGTCTAGAATGATGTGTACGTAGTTTCCTGAAAATCGGACAAAAACATATTTATGTAAATGGTGCACCGAAGTCCCTATATATACTTCGATTTGCACGAAATTTGGCATAGCGTACTGAACTGAGTCTAGAATGATGTTTGCTATGTTTCAGATTTAGATATAGCTCCCATATATATTTTCGTACAATTTTATGTAAATGGTGCACCAAACTCTTAATGTTTGTCCGATTGACATGGAAGGTTTCTACAAAATTTTTCACAACGTATTAAATTGAGACTAGAATGATGAGTGTTTTTGAAATAGGTGCATATGCAGACATATCTTCCATATATATATTTTCGACCGATTTCATGTTAATTTCCCACCAAACTAACATCGGGGGTTTCAAAAACCAGATCCAACCAGCTGTTTTTAAAAACTAAATATTTTGTGGTAAAACTGTTTAAATAAAACATATGTACGTCGCTTGTACCAAAAAGGAAAAACAGATTTTTTTTCGAAATAGTGCCTGTAGTTATCTTTTGGGTACGTATACATGACTTACTGTTCCCTTGGGTACGTATTTTTTTTAATACAACATTTATCATTGATATAATGATAATTATGATTTATTTTAATTTCCCCATTTTTCTCTATCCCTCTCTCTCTCTCAAAAACACACACACTCGTGTAACTTCGCTTGAATTGTATTTGTAAAAGAAAAATAAATGAAATATGGGCTGAGAAAACGTTTTTGACGTGAGTATACTTCTTATATATAACTCCTATATATATATTCTAAATAACATTTTAAATTAGTAAATAACTTTATATATAAATACATATATATATATATATATATATATATATATAAGGTAATTATTTTTATTGTTTGGGGAGGAATTAGGATTTTTTTTTGAGGCAAAACAAAAATCTCTTGGCGTCTATTTTAAAATAAAATAATTGTTGTATCTATTTCTAATCATAATGATATGTTTTACATAAAGAAAATAAATAAAAAAATTAAATATCAAACTAAAAATAAAAAATAGTTTTTATTACAAAAAAATGGTTCTAATTGCAAGTATTGCTATTTATAATAAGGATCTAACGAAAAACAACAATTTGTATCTTTTTTATATCCTTCAAGAAAAAAAGGTTATATAAATAGGTTAAGACGCAATTTACACTGAACGTGGTTCAAATCGGACATTCAATTCAATTGATATTGGATTTACAAATTTAAATAAAATGTAGACTCTGTGGGGGAGGAACCTAAAGGAGTGGACCAATAGGTCCCGCCTTTAGACATAATAAAAATATTACGTTGCGCATTGTTTAGTTCAAATTGGATATTCCGTACGCTCCATATGTGATTTGCAACCATTGTGGTGGAGGTACGATAAGAAGTGGACCAACGGGCATCATTTTTACATTATACAGTCATGGATATAATATTAGGTTGTGCAAAGTTTTGTTTAAATCAACCAAATTTTGATCATTTTGTGAAGGAGTGAACCGACGGGTCCCATTTTCGAACTTGATTTAAGTTCGAAGGAAATGTTACGATGTGCACAGTTTGGATCAAATCGCACATTCCTTTTGCCTAATAACGGATTTATAAATATTAACAAGGAGGAGTAGGTAACTCCTTTGGACTTGAAATAGAATTGTTAAAAATATTACGATGCGCAAAGTTTATATCAAATCGGACATTCCATTTGCTTAATACTGAATTAATAGCAATTGAGCATTTTGACCTGTTTTTCGGGTCCCACCTTCCTTCGCTTTTATATGCCTTTTGGGCTGGGGCATCTTCATCCATTCTCACAACATGACCTAGCCAACGTAGTCGCTGCAGCTCAATACATCTAACAATGCCGATGTCCGAGAATAGCTGGTACAGCTCATGGTCCATTCGACGGCGATATTCACCGTCAACGCAGATCGGCCCATAGATCTTTCGGAGAAATTTTCTCTCAAACACTCCAAGAGCTGCCTCATCTGCTTGCGTAAGTACCCATGTTTCAGATCCATATAATAGCGTCTTGTAGAGTGTGAGCTTGGTCTGGCGTGAGGAGGCCTTGCTTTTGAGTTTGTTTGCTCAGACTATAGTAGCATCTGTTGCCCAACACTATCCTTCTCCGAATTTCAAAACTGATTTCATTAGTTTTATTTATGGCGGTACCAAGGTATATAAAATCGTTGACTACCTCGAAGCTGTAGTTCTCAAGTTCCACAGTTGGTTCGAGTCTACTGGACGTCTTGCGCGTTGATATCATCAGCTTGGTCTTCTCGCCGTTTATTGCTTTGGCAGACTCCTTCTCAATTTGTTCAAAGGTGGCTGTTACCGCTCTCAATGTTCGACTCGTTATGTCGTTGTCATCGGCGTAGGCGAGTAACATGTGTTGTTTGGTGTACAGAGTGCCATTTTTGTTCAACTTTGCCTCTCGTATGATCTTCCCAACAGGATGTTAAAAAGGTCACACGACAAACTGCCATATTGTCTGAATCCTCGTTAAAGGGAAGTTATGAAGTGGAAATTTTGACTGAAATCGGTTACTCCCTCCAAAAGTTATCGTGCGCACCAGCCAGTCAGACATACGGACATTTGTAAATCGACTCCAATCTGTCTGGTCCAAAGAAACAAGGTCTAAAACAAATATTTAACAGTGTATATACCCTAACCTCATTGAGCTGATGGAGGTCTATGGTAATTGAAAATGGCTATTAATGAGTGTGAATTATCCTAATCTGAAACTAACTTTTAATAATAGAGTTTTTAAAAATTGTAAAAACACCAGCATATGTTTATTTCAAAATAAAGCAACATTTAGTGAATAAAAATAAATCAATGTTTTTTTTTTGGGAATCTTGATGTTTTATTACTCAGATTTTTTAGCAATTTTTTTTTTTAGTTTCTTTTTTTCTGTTATGATTGTTGTTGTACACAGTTGATTGATTTTCTAGGAAAGATGGATAAGAGAATATAAACTCTAAGGGGAATGTTAATTTAAAATCAACATTTTCTTTTTTTAAAAGTGGCAAATTGTTTTGGAGTTTTTCTTTTCTTTGTGTCTGTATTACAATCACTTTAAAAATTAACAAACAAATATATATATATTTAAAATTTTCACTTAGTTACAAATTAGTTAATGATTTAGCTGCAATGATATTATTTTTGTGTGTCGGGTGGAGGGAGTTGCTTGTAATCATTATTATTTTTATTCCTTGTAAATGGCAATGCTCTGCTTGCCCGGCTCTCCATTTTATTTTTCTATATTTTTGTGTAAAGATAAAATTTAACATTTTCCACTTTTTTGTTGTTTTTGTATAATTGCCAATAATCTGGGTGTTAAATATATAGATTCCATAATGCTTGAGTTGAATGTTTTTGTTGTTGTTGTTGGAGGGTGGTTTTCGATTTCAATCTCCACAGAATTTAATTATTGATGGCGTTGTTGTTCCATTTGTATTATTGTTTTAAAATTCTGTATCCTTTTTTATCATTTTTTTTTTTTTTTTTTTTTTTTAATATTATTTAAATGTTGTTTTTAGTTTCAGTCCTTTGAGTGGATTGGTATCACAAATTTATGCCCAAATGGACTTTTGTACTTAATGCCAGCATCACGATAAAATTTATCCGGTATACCCAGATTACATAAATACAATTTGCCACAATTATTCGATGATATGCCATTTAATGGTAAGATTGGTATAATTGAATATTTAATGGATACATCATTTATGCCACTTGGTGGCGGATCAATGGCCAATATAGATGCACTGAAAGAAAAAAGAGAGAATTGAAATGTAAGCATTTTGTAAACATTTAGACAAGAGCAAAATTTCTACATACCGGTTTTCACTTAACCACTTCTTTACATCGGTCGACAAATTAGCTGAATTTGTCGACAATATCACAAGGTCAGGTGTTGGGAGTGCTGTAAACATATTTTTTTATTAAAAAATTGGAGATTATAGAAAACATTTCCCTACACTTACCTTCAACGGAATACACCACGGTATTCCCAGTTGCTTTAAAAAGCGATATTTCTATACTCTTTTGTTCTATATTGGAGTCTTCTTCCAAGTAAAGTAATACCTTTAGGCCGTGAGATGCTAACTGACGACCAGTAGCAGCACCAACGTTGCTTGATCTAAAAGAGAAAAAATCATTACACGTTAATAAAAAAATAATAATAATAATTCCGCAATCTAAGCTCACCTAAAATTCTCTGATTTCTCACATATAATTGCAATTGTCGGCCATTGATGGCGATTATTCGGAGTTAGGCGACGTGCTCCACCCAACAATAATATAGCCAAATCTGTTGCACCGCGTGCCAACAAATCCAATTGACGTTGCAGTGAGAGCCCACACTTTTGAGCACACATTTCAATTTTTGTTCGCACAAATATCGGAATGGTGGGTATGATCAGACCCTCATCCGTAACAAAATCCTCGGAGCCGCCATCGAACAATGATTCGATTTGACGCATTTGTGCCGGTTCACTAACTAAAATATTCTCATCGTGGCGATATTTTTTCTGATTCGCTGACGACACTGTATGTTGTACTAAATCGGGTTTTTTACCCGCCTCCAGCGAGTCCCAAATGGCTTGTTTATCGAACAGCGCTAAATTACCCTCAAAATCGAAATCCTCATGCAACAAGGGATCATCAATGGAGGCACTAAATGTTTGACTGTGTTTGATGCTGTTTTCGCGGCGCACCTGTTTGTTGCGTTGTTTTTGGCGGGCTCCATTGCCATTGCCGTTTGTATTGTTGCTACAGTTACCGCCGTTGCCATTCGAGGTAGCGTTGTTACGCTGAGATCTACCATTGGTGGTGGGCAAGCCAACACCACTTGAATATGAGGCGGCACCTCCTCCGTTTTCTTTCTGGCCCGAGTAATAGGAACCACCGCCACTTGGAACAATATCGATTGGCTTGCTGCTATTTAGAGCACCACCATTTTCCATGACACCACCGCCATTGCTGCCATAACTTTCGGCATTACAACTATTCGATGTCGAACAGACGGAGGCTGAACAGCTGGCAGCACCCATTCGTACCTCAACTTTGGGTGGTATAAGATTGCCAAAGAAAAGAGCTACACTGTTTGAGGTTTGTTGTTGTTGTGGGGAATTTGATTTTTTGCCATTAAACATTGATTGTTGCTGAGCACTGGGTGCCCTTGAAGATGTGGGTGATAGTCTGCAGAAAAACAAATAGAAACAATAAACATTTTTCAAATGTCAACATTTTGTTTGCAATAACCTACATATTTGATTCCTGCTTTAGTACCATGCTTTGTTTCAGTTTATTACTCAGCGTTGAGTTGACATCTGGTTTTGGAGCTACTCCAGCCGCTCCACCACTTGCTGCTGCTCCTCCTCCTCCATTGGCGACGGCTACATTGGCAAAATTGGGCTGTTTCACCGGGGTGGGCTTATTAATTACGGTCGGTGTTACTGTACTCTGATTATTATAGGATGGCAATAAACTAATTTTGTTGATGTCTGTCGAGCGTAGGGTCACTTCCGCATCTTGTTTACGCAGCGGCACACCATTGCGGAATGCCCGTACTATTGTGATCTCTGAAGGCGTACACTGTGAAATGATACCCTGAAATACGCCTAGCTTGGGATCGCATTCAATGGAGACCGCCTTGCCTGTCCAATCGTCTTCCATTGCCTGCACTGTACTGCTGCTACCGCCTGGCTTTAACTTGAGTCGAAAATCGTTCGTTTCTTTTGAGACAATAACACTCCTCTACTCTATTACTAATCAGTCTTATGCACTCGATTGTTGCTATTGTTGTTGTAATTCCAAATTAATTCGTATGGTAATTGTTTTCTTTGAAATGACAGATTTTCTCCTTCGCCTCAGGATGTCTTTATAATTTTCGTCTGTCGACTTCCTGTTATTGCATTCGTGGAACTCCGTATTACAGAACAAAATCGTCGTTGTTGTTGCTGCAGCTGCTTTCGTCGTCGTCGTCGCCGTCCTGAATAATTTTTTTCCAACGCAATTTTTTTCTTTCGTACACCTTTTCAATTGTTCTAATTTTTTCTCGCTTTTTTTCCGAAAGATTTTTAAGAAATATATTTCAATTTGTATTTGAGTGGCGTAGAATGTATTATTGTATTTGAACTTTCTATATTCGCAATTGTTTAAAAAAATTGCACGTTGTAACTTTAATTTTTTCCAACTATTCCTTTTTTTCTTTCTAATATTGTTGAATATCGCTTAAAATGTACATTTTAGAGTTGTTCAGTTCACAAAGGAACTAGTTCAATTGGAAGATTCGTGAAAAGAGCGTATGAACAGCTCACGGACACCAACAGTGAACGAGTTGAATGGTGACAGATTAAGGATACATTACACGATCAATCAGTCCGGTGTTACATTTGCATTGTACACAACATGACAGTAGGCACCCGAGCAAATTTTCATAACAAACTGGCATGGAGTTTTTGTCGACAGAAATAAATAAAATGAAAGAAAATGCAAAACTTTTTTTATTTTTGGTCTGTTCCCGTACTGCAAGAATCTAACTTCGAAAACGTTTTTTCCTTTATGATATCGAAAAAAGCTATTAAAAACTCGTAGATACGAGAACACACCATTTCTAAATCAAATTTACCGTTAAGGGCTAAGCAGAATGTTCGCGTTGAGCGTTTTTTGTTATCGCGTTAACGCACGCAAAAAGTTTAAATATATTTAACTCCGAAGCGCAGCGCACATCAACTTCGAGCGTTTGTGTTATCGTTTCCTTGTGGTTGTTGTATTTTCGATAACATATAACGCGACGGATGACTCAACGCTAGCATTCTGCTTAACCCTTAATAGTTCGTCTTCGGACGGCTCATAAGAATGGCGCAATTTAATAGTATAATACGCCCACGGGCTTAAAAATAAAATTTTTACAAAATGGCGATTTGTTAAGTCTTCGCTTACCTACAACGTGTTTCAATTATCTGAGCGGGCCTACACAAAATATAAACTTACAGAAGCTGAGCTCGATTTTTTAAAGATTTTATACTAAATAGAAAGTGGACTAGTTGGAGGAGGAGTAAAGCGGAAAAAAGGTATTGTTGTATTTTCGATAACACATAATGAAATGGATGGGTCAACGCGGTAATTCTGCTTAGTCCTTAACGCTTCGATAACCAAAACGCGTGCGATAACCAAATACGCTCAACGCGAACACTCTGCTTAGCCCTTTACTCTCACAAAAGAACTTACTGATTAATTATTACTGGAAAAGTACGCAGACGGACCTGATAACACAAACGCCTGAAGTTGATATGCGTTGCGCCTCGAAGTTACATATATTTTAACTTTTTGCGTGCGTTCCCACGATAACAAAAAACGCTCAACGTGACCATTCTGCTTAGGTCTTTAAGGGCTAAACAGAATTTTCGCGTTGGGCGTTTTTTGTTATCGCGTTAACGCACGCAAAAAGTTAAAATATATTTAACTCCGAAGCGCAGCGCACATCAACTTCGAGCGTTTGTGTTATCGTTTCCTTGTGGTTGTTGTATTTTCGATAACACATAACGCAACGGATGGCTCAACGCGAGCATTCTGCTTAGCCCTTTATTGTTGCGGTTTTCTTGTGGTTGTTGTATTTTCGATAACACATAACGCTACGGACGGCTCAACGCTACCATTCTGCTCAGCAACGCGCAAGGGGATATCCCAGCCACTCATGTTTGCTGCCAAAATGCATTATTGTGAATAGAATTCCATTATGAAAACGTAAAGAAAGTTCAAATTTGTTCCGTTCCGTTTTCCGTTTTCGATTGCTACCTGGGTGATATTATTATTAGATCTCTTGGTAACGCGAACATTCTGCTTAACTCTTTATTACCTCTGCCTATGTATTTACCGGTCCTTTCGATTTTATATGAAATGTACATGCTATTCCGTAACTCTTTTATTACCTCTGCCTCTCTCTCGGTGGTAAATTGTATTGTAAAACATTGCGGTCCTTTTCGTTTTTATATGAAATGTATTTATACATTGTTTGCATAAATAATATATGTTATAATTTAAGCTAGTATCACATATAAAAAATATAATTTTTGTACTGTGAATCAACAAATTGAACTAATTTATTTGCCAACTAGATAACTTTAAAAGTCGATAAATCGCTTTATCAAATGTCAATTTTCCCATCCCTAATGGTAGAAAAACCCAAGTCGTCGGTTATTGTGTATTTCCAACGAGAAAGATTATTTCGATTCAATGTTATTTCGTGTTTTCTTTTTATAACAATGATAATGTTTTATTATACAAAATATATACGTATGTAGCTAGCAAGATGTTAATTAAAATGTACATTCATTAAAGTGTATTCGAAGTGAAATTTCAACCAATAAAATAGATATTATGTACAAATAGCGCTGCCAGCAAACCGACGTTCCCCCATTGTAGAAAGAATACATACGTGAAGAAGTAACAACAACAAAAACAATAGCATCAAATTAAAGCTAAGAAGAGCTAATAAGAAAATCTATTAAAAATCTTCCAATAAAAAATAGTAGTAGTTGTAAGTAAAAAAATATAGTTGCAAACGAGAGATATTTTTATTAAAAAAAGAGACTTTGTGATTAATAATTCTTGCCGATTCATATACAAATTATTATTATTATTATTGCCCTATAATAAAGATTTTGCAAAAATGTTCCGATTAAACTCTTATCGTAAATGATTAAAATTGACGGTATTGCTGATGATGAGATCAATTATTTGTATGTGTGTGCCTTCATTTCATATAAAAATGTGTTTGTTTTTCTTTTTGTTCTTAAAATAATGTTTGCAGAGAATTTTTAAACCGTTTGTTGTCAAAATAAATGTTGCATTTTTGAGAAGTGTTACAATAACGTCATAATGTCTGCACGTTCTGCCAATAATACGGTTTTGCCGCCAGCGACAGACAATGATGCTCCCCGGCCGCCACCGCGTCGTCGTGCAGCTTCCGTTGCAGGCCAACAAAGACGTTTCTCATCACAATCGAGCCAAGAGTTCAGTGGCAGCGGCCATACACCAAGAAGATCTTTAGCCACGGTGGTAAGTAATACAACTAAATGTTTTCACTCAGCCCCCTCCCCCTTTTTCCTCTTTTAATACAACAATAACTTATTAATTTATGGCATGGCCTCTAGTTGTTGTATTTTGTTAAAACAAAAAACATGAAAAACCCAAAAAGCATAAACAATCAGTACATGTCAGTTGTAGTTGTTTTTTTGCTCAGTGAATTTTTGTGTGTGAGCAGAGAGTGCTTTTGTGTGTGCATGATAAAACAGCTGTTTGCTGCAAACATTAAGTACCCAACTAACGAAAGCAATGAAAAGAAAAGAAGAAGAAAAATAACATTAACAAGGGGCATTTTTTTATTTTGGGTGGAAACCACATAAGGCTGCTCCCCCATATCTCAGCTACTCTCTGTAAAAATAACTGAGCAATGAGGGGCCATTGTAGGCTCCCTCATGTACTGTATTTTGTTAGGAGAGCAACAGCTCACATGACAGATGACATTTGTAGTCATTTTGCTGGTCTCGCCGTTTAGTTTAGTTAAGTTCATGAGAGCGTAATAACGTTTTTATTTTTTCGGTTGGACAATTAGTGGTATTGTTCCCCTCCAATGACTGCGCGTGTGTTTGTGAGTTTTGTCGGTCAGAATTAAAGAAGAAAAGAAAAAAAGAAATTGTTTTACAAAACATGTTAATGATTTAATGAAGTTAATGTGATTTCTTTTTCAAAAAAATTAATTTCACAATATTGCCAAACAAAAGATGTAACAAGAATTTCAAACGGTGTTTAGTTTTTGCCAACAAAAAACGTCAGAAAAATAACTGGTGGCATGATAGTGTGTGTGTCTGTTTTGTCAAAAGCAAACCTGACTGCTCTTGAAAAGATTAACACGACATAATATAAAAGAAAAATAAAATGAATTGTTTTATTAAATTTAAATAGAAATAAAGCGTTCCTTAGCCAGTAACAGTAAAAATAAATGAATTAAATTGTGTGTAAGAGCTTGTGTGTGGCTCACCGTCCGTCCAAAACACTGTGCAAATTGAAAAAAGAATAGAAATAAAAAAAATTAGTCATCCAACTCGACGAGCGATATCTAATAGAGGGATTTGTAAAAGAAGTAATGCCATCATCGCCGCCTCGATTGCAATGGCAGACAGCGACCTATTGAAATATTAATTAAATTATAAAATTACTTTTTTGGTTAAATAAAATTCAAAGTTCATAATGCACATTTAAAAATAGAAAACAGTTAACGATTATTACTTCAAAGGAAAACTACCAAAGTGTTCGAATGTTGTTCAAAAAAATAAGGCAAAATTGATCGATTGATTAATTGTCATTGGGTGGTGGTCGAAATAAAAAAAAACAAAAAGAAAAAACAAAACAAAGCCATCCCCAAAGTGTGTGCCTGATTAGAACCTACTTTTTTGCTTCTTCTTCTTACATTAACAAAATATACTACAAAAAAAACAACTTAAAAAAGAATTGACAAAAGTCATTAGCAAAGACGACTGAAAAATAACACATTCCAATGAGAGAGGGAGATTTTAAAATAATCTCTAGTTCCCCCCTTTGTCCTACATTGCCATTTGTTGTTGTTGGCGATCAACGACAACAAGATTGCCGCCAACGTCACTGTCAACGCCACAGTAGAAGAAGCAGCGACGACGGCAGACGCCGCCATTGTGCCATATAAACCAGTTTTCGGTTATTTCCCCCCACAAGACGTGACAGATAGCGAAGCAGGCAGGCGTACGACGACAAAAGGTACATAGCCAGCCAGGCAGGCAGTCAAGTCAGTCAACCATCCAGCCACCAGCCAACTTTTTTGTGGAGTACCTTTTACTACTGCCACCACCATCGCGGCGGCTTACTACATTCATTATCGTTTATATTACGACGTTTTATGAATGCGTTTTTTGTTTTTTGTTATGTTTTATTTTTAATTCTTAATTCCGATAATAAACAAAAAAGAGAGCAACGACACACACAGTACACAATCAGAACCAAGGTGGTGTCCCCTTCAAATGAGAGAGAACTAAGTGTAAACAGGCAAAAGAGAGTAGCAGCAGAGAACAGAGCCAAGACGCAAAAATTCACAACAATTTAAATTGTGTGTTTTGTATTTAAATTATTTTCGTTTGTAACAATTGTGAGTTTCAAGGAAACTTATATTGCAAAATTGACTGAATATGGCTGAAGCATTAGCCGAAGGACAAGTTCATGGTTACAGTGATGTAAGTAAAGAGAAAAAGAAAAAATAGCAACAACATCAAATCAAAATTCATTATCCTTGACCAACTTCACAAAATCTATTATAAAATATATTTGTAAAGTCGTTGTGTATGATATATTATAGATTCGATGTCGTGTGTTTGGTTTATTAAAAATTTAAATGAATAGCCAACAACAACAACAACTGTCAACAACAGCCGTGTAATCTCCCATTCATGGTGTGCAGTGTGTCAACACCACCATCATTACATCCAGGAGGCGATTTTTAATTAACCTGTTTGGTTTGAATTGTTTTCCTTTTTTCGTTTCTCTCCTTTCTCATAAAGAATAGAATTACACACAAATGACCTTAACAAACGGGATACTCAAAAAAATAGAAATAAGGCAAAAATATTGACGTCCATCAGGTGTTTTTTTTTTGCTACTGAAGGCTATTGATACTCTATAGGTATTTAAACACACCATACATCTACAAATTATTTCTTTTATGACCTTTGCAATTTAAGCCAATTTACAATTCATGAGGCCAATTTAAAGTTAATTACAAAGATTCCACCTTATTTTACACACACCAAACATCTACAAATTATTTCTTTTATAAACAAATGTGACCTTTGGTAACATATAGAAGCATTTTAATCGATAAAAGAAATATTTGTTTATCTGTAAAGGATCTCCATCTATCTATAGAAGGCAGCCTTATATATCCAGAAGCTATCAAAAATAGTAAAGAGTACCTCAGTAGGCAAGAGTATCTCAGTAGGCAATTATGATGTTTTATTTTATTTGTTACATGCAATACCATAAGTGTCTGAAATCCTTCCTCCCCTCTCAACCATAGACACATTTTTGCCTGTTTTGCCACGTTTGTCTGAAATGACAATAGAGGAAGGGATCGTCAATAAAATATAAGAAGATAACGATATAAAAAACCTCTATATATTTAATCTATAGAATACAGTATAATATTCAAATAAATCCTATGGGATGTATCATAAATAGTAGACGACATAATTATCTTAGGAAAAGACCCTTTTTCTTGATCACAGACAAATTCTTTGGCACATACAGTGGCTCCATCGAATAATCGGACAAGTGGTTGTCAGATATAAAAATGCTATACATTTCAAAAAAAATTGTCTAAATGTGAAGTTTTTTTCGCTTTTATTTACACATTACTTACTTATATTTCTGACTTTTCTAGTGATAACAGTAAATTTCGTCAGAAAAACAAAATTAACTCAATTTATTGTGTTCAACGCAAAATCGGACAAAGCAAAGTATCAATGTTAAAAAATGAAAAAATCGAGAAATTAATATTTAGTTGCATATCCTTTGTTGTCCAGAACGGCCTGTAAACGCTTCGGTATTGATTTGACCAAATTTTGGCATACCTATGGAGTTCCAAGATTCCAGTAAAGCCACCTGAAGCTGTACTAAGGAGTTAAATTTTTTTCATACACTCTACTAGCTAATTATTCCCAAAGATGCTCAATTACGTTAAGGTCTGGGCTATAAGTTTTGGGCAGTTATGTGATCAACCAAAGCTTTGCAACACCTGATGTGTCCTTGGGATCGTTGTCTTGATAAAAGGCAAAGTTGTTCGCGATACCCAATTTGTCTGCACTTTGCTTTACATTTTGTTTTAAAATGTTGAGGTAGACAAAATTTTCCTTTTTCCATCAATAAAATGCAAATTGCCTACTCCCGCACTCGACATGCAGCCCCAAACCATAACAGAACTTCCTCCGTGCTTAACAGTGGCTTTTGTATTCTTATGATTAAATTCAGCATTTGGCTTACGCCACACATACATCTTTCCATTTGACCCGTGCAAGTTAAATTTGCTTTCGTCAGTAAACAGAATCTTTATATAATGAAAACTATCAATAGAAATGTATTTTAAGATGATCTATCATCAAATTACCTGCTTCCAAAAATCTTCTGGTTTTAGTTAATACTCCTTTTGTCCGATTATGCGATGGAGCCACTGTATGTCTGTCGATGAAGCTCAGCAATTTTTATAAAAGACTTCTATACAAATGTTACGACTACTATTAGTTTGTTTGGTATAAACACTCCCATATAGGGCATTCTGTATTACTCTAATACCCAAGGACCTTATTTACATGTGTGTCCATGCATGAAAACATATATTTTTAATTAATCGGAAAATGTTAACTTTTATGGAAACACTGTTAATGTTTTTTTTAATTTATTTATAAATATCTTTCGGCAACGTACGGCTGATCGACTTTGTTATATATAGTTTTTTAAATTCAAAATTGGCATTTCGGTGGACTTTATTTCAGTTTTCCTTTTTTAGGTATGTTTCCTTATTTTGTTCTGTTCGTTTTTTTCTAAGTGCTACCTGCCTAATATGTTTCTCAATAGATATATACCGCAATTTTTTCTATTTTACATTTTGTTTACAAATGTTGGGAGTTTTTCTAATTTTTTCGTTGGTTGATTCGTTTGTTTTGTTTACATTACAAAATCAAGATAAACGTTGTACAACAAACAAGCCACGTGAAGAAAAACCTAATGTTCATTTTTTTTTTTATCATATTCACCTAATAATGAATGATTTAATTTCAAATTAAGAAATCGAGTAAACAAAAATAATGTAAATAAATTTATAAAGAATAAAAAATGTGGAATAGAATCGACGATGTGTATTGTTTTTTTGCTTTCAAATATTTTCGCACATTCGAAACAAGAAAAGTTATACCATACCCAAGAACTATTATAGGGAAGGCGTCGGCGTAAATATATAGCACTTCCATGGCACTTTTTAAATCATTGAAGTTTCCTCCTCTGATGGTGAAATGAGGTTCAGTTTAATATCTAATGGTTTCATTATTCGAAAAAAAAACTGAATTTATACAACTTCTCAAGGTAAAATTGTTGATTTATTAAATGTTATTGTTTAGTTCAATGATCATAACATGTTGAAGCTAAAGGCAAATAAATTGAGTAACTGTGGATTTTCTCCGATTTCCTCACTAATCGAATTGCATATAAGATCGGTATATATATTCTTGATCCAGAGAAAATGTAAAGTATTCTTGAAGTCAAAAAGTTAATATTGTACACAGATGTGCCCTTGGTTTGTAGGTAGGTAATGTTCGATGATGGACTATATTGGTCTCAATTTATTGGTTTGTATGTTAAGGTTTATGGATGCATTAATTTCATATTGCAGACATTTTGGGATAAAATTTAAAAATGGTCCTACCAAAAATAAAAAGTATTTGTCCATTTTTTTAGGGTATCCCTCTAATGACGGTATATCTTCGTTAAAAATTTTGAACATATTTTTCCAACCAATTTGATATTTTGAATTAGGATTGGGTTGCAAATCGCCATACCAAAAATAATCAATATTGGCCCATGTTTCGGGTTAGTTCCCATTTGACGTTATAACTTCGTTGGTATTTTTGAACACGTTTTCCAAAAGAATGGACTGTAATTTGACATTTTGCTTCCCCATTTGGTGTTCAAAATATTCTTACTAAATATAATCATTATCTGTCTATTTCTCAAAACCCTCTGATTTTCAGTATTTTGAGGATTTTGGACACGACGTTTTCCAACAGATTGCAGTGTGCATTAATATTGTGGGATCTCATTGGATTAAGTATATTCATAACAAGTATTATTAAAATTGGTCCATTTTTAGGTATAGCCTACAATAACGTTAGCCTCCGATTTTAATATTTTGCGAATCTTGAACACGTTTTTCAACTGAATGGTGTGTAATTTGTTATTTTTGTGTTCTCATTGGTTGACAAATCTCTCTATAGGGTAGACTCTATGTAAAGATAACCTCAAATGTTGTTGTTATTGTTGACCTGTGATATGTTAATTCAACCGTCTATGCTAGACGGTGATGAAAATCGGTTGCTTTTCTCAAAAAAAAAATTCCCTGAAGATGACTGCCGAAGACAGTCGAAATATTGGAAAATAAAAATAAACAAAAAAGAAAAACATAACCAACGAGTTTTTCAATTGACCTAGAGCCAAAACAAAAATCCACAAGAGATAACCTCAAATATTAAAAAATTGGGACATGGTAATATTAATCCACCTTTAGCTGTAGTTCAATATAACGGTAACCTAATTTTTTAGGTACTTTGGACGCTTTTCCCACTAAATTGACTATTATTTGATATTTTGGGTACTTATTGGATAACAAAACCCCTTAAAAAATTAATTGTTTCCACGACAGAGGGGTCAACGATCCGATCCGAAACGACCCGAGTCTTACTCGACCAACGTCTGTCACCTCAGACCATTGTGTAAAATCAATAGGGCTGCTACAAAACAACCAAAAATAATCATGGCATCCTAAAATGTTTAGTGTTTTGATGATATTGAACACGTTTTCCGAATAAATTGGCTGTAATTTGATATTTGGTGTTCTGAATCATTGAGAACAAAATAATCAATATTAGTCCATATTTATATATAGATCCCATATACAGGCACACTCTAGTTTTCATTTTTAGGTTTTGCAATTTTTGGAATACTTTCCAATGAAAATATCCGAATTTTAATATTTTTTTGTATCCTATGGGTTACCAAGTCAGATTTGTAGATTTGTATATTACCTATATAACGATACAGTCCGTTTTTGTTTTTGTCTTAATGCCATTTTAAGCAGCTCCTGCCCACCTCGATTTATTAAATATGTTTTTTATTTTACTTTTAATAAATGATTTTTTCCTTCTTATCTATCTTTTCAGAATGACACCACTGACACATGTCACTTACGTATAGTTATACTAAATGGACAGTCACTAGCCAAAAAGGATATATTTGGAGCAAGGTATTTGTAAACAATAAATTAAAAAAAACACACACACATTTTTGTATTAACATCTTTTGGTTTTCTATACATTTCCAGTGATCCCTATGTCAGAATAGATTTGAATACAATAAATGGTGACATTAATATAGATTCAGTTTTAACCAAAACTAAAAAGAAGGTAAGAAAGGTGAATATCCTCAGATGTCTTTACCTATCTGCTAACATTATTGATATTGTTTATTTTGTACTACACAAACACACACACATATATAGACTCTAAATCCAACATGGAATGAAGAATTTGTATTTCGGGTAAGTTTTCGATAAAATTCTTCTTTATTGTAACTGAAATTTATTAATGTGTGTGTATATTCTCCTCCCTTGCAGGTTAAACCCACAGAACATAAATTAGTTTTTCAAGTATTCGACGAGAATCGTCTAACACGAGACGATTTCCTTGGCATGGTGGAACTGACATTGGTTAATCTGCCAACAGAACAAGAGGGTCGCACGATAGCACCCCAAAGTTATCCTTTGAGGCCTAGAAGGTCAGTAGGGTATGTTTATTTTACAGTTTTTTATTATTTAATTTCTGTTTTCTTTTTTATTTCCATTTTGGTTTGTTGTCGATTGAGTCAAAAACAAACAAAAAAAGACCTAAGACAGAATTCCTATATACCACCTACCCAAATGGCTTCAAGTCAAGTGTTTGCTATATTTTAATTGAACAAACAAAATATTTAGAAAACGGGTAGTACCTAGTTAATTGTTGTGTTATTTTGGTTTGTCCTTATTCATCTATTTTAACATTTCATTATTTATGTTCATCTAGTTTTATTTGTTTTGTGTAATTATCATTTATTTTATTTTGTCTCTTGTTTGTAATTAGTTTATAGCTGCAAAAAAAAAAAATAATTTAAAAAATATTAGTGAATGTTTTTATACATGTATACACAAGAAAAAAATAATTTGTTTCATAACAAACATTAATTTATTTGTTTTCTAAATAAAATATTTTCAATATAAAAACAAATATAGCGCCAAATCCCGCATCAAAGGAACCTTGGAAATCTATCATGCATTTATACATGAGCAAAGGGAAACGGTTGAACCGGATACCAGTACAGGTGATTGGGAACATGTAGAAAATGTTTCAACGACAGGAGCAGCACCGGCGGTATGCAGAATTGTTTTCATTTATATTGTTTCAAATTTGAAAAAATGGTTTTGAATTTTTTTTTCTTTTCTCCCAGAATGCTTTTGTTGCCAATGGTGGGGGAAATCATCATGATCCATTACCACCCGGTTGGGAAGAACGCCAGGATGCCAATGGTCGAACGTATTATGTAAATCACACCGCTCGTACAACACAATGGGAAAGGCCTACAAAGTAAGTTCATATTTTCAAAGTTGTTTTAAAAGTGGATATTACAAAATTTTATATATTTTTTTTTATTAAGCGAGAATGTTTTAAAAAACATATTTCAATAGACGAGGATTCTCAACAAAAAATGATTATAAAAAAAATGTTGAGGCATGAATTTTATTTTAAATTTAGGCGTGTTTTTTCGAAATTAATTTTCTATACTCTTCACCACACTGCGATACAGGGTATTATGTCTTTATGCATATTGTTTGTAACAGGCAAAAGGAAACGATATTGACAAATAGTTCCTTTTGACAATATGCATAGAATCACTTTCTGAGTCGATTTATGCATGTCCGTCCGTCTCTCTGTCCATGTTCAATTGTAAACAAAGTACAGGTCGCATTTATGATTCGAATTAGATGCAATTTGGCACAGCTCATTTATTTGGCCCAAGGACGAACCCTATTGAAATTAGGAAAAATCGGTTCAGATTTAGATATAGCTCCCATATATATTATCCTCCGATTTAAGGTAAATGGTGCACTAAAGTCCTTAAATAAACTTCGATTTGCCCGAAATTTGGCAAAGCGTACTGAATTAAGCCTAGAATGATGTGTGCTAAGTTTCGTGAAAATCGGTTCATATTTAGATATAGCTCCCATATATATTTTCGTCCGATTTAAAGTAAATGGTGCGCCAAAGTCCCTAAATATGCTTCGATTTGCACGAAATGTGGCACAGCATACTAAATTAAACCTAGAATGCCGTGTGCAAAGTTCCGTGAAAATCGGTTGAGATTTAGATATAGTTCCTATATATAATTTCGTCCGATTTAAAGTAAATGGTGCACCAAAGTCCCTAAATATGCTTCGATTTGCACGAAATTTGGCATATCGTACTGCATTGAGTTTAGAATGATGTGTGCTAAGTTTCGTGAAGATCCGTTCAGATTTAGATATAGCTCCAAACTCATAATGTTTGTCCGATTTACACGAAATTTTGCACAACATATCAAATTAGGACTTGATTGACGTTATTCGGTTTTGTTGAAATTGGTGCAGATGCAGCCCAAGCTTCCATATGTATTTCGAACGGTTGTCTGATTGAAATTAAATTTTTAACAGTGCGCCGTACCCAATAGCGTGTATCAATTTTGCTATAAATCGTTTTCCATAAATTTGTCCCATGGTACGCAGACGGCTCTAATTCTGCCCGAATGAAATCAAATTTATCATAGGTTGCAGAAAGACATGATTATGTTCCTGCGATTGGTGAAGGGTATTATATAGTCGGCCCAGTCCGATTTTACTACTTTCCCTTCTGGTTTATGTATGCATTTTTTATTTTTTAGAGACTGGATTTGTTTAAAACAATTTTTAGTCGACGAATTTTTTAAAGACATTTTTAGTTTTGGGTTTTTTAAAAACAATTTTTTTTAGTCGTGGATTGGCTTGGATTTAAAAAACACAAAATCGTGACCGCGAATTTTTTTAAAAACAAATCATTTAGATGAGTTTTTTTTAACACATAGAAATAAAAAATATAACTATTTTTTAAAAATTGTATATTTTAAAATTATTTTTTAATTATTTAATTTGTTTGCAGTTTAAATACCAATCATGCTAACATAAATATGGAAGCAGCAGCTTCAGATTTCCAAAGACGATTTCACATTAGTGTGGATGATTCAGAGACAAATCGTTCAAACGTAAGTATCCAAAGAAACCAATATCTGTGTGAGAATAACAGGAGGAAGAGGATATTACCTTTATCATGAAAGAGAATTTGTATCGAACGTTATTTACATTTATTGATTATGGTATAAATTTCGTAACGGGGTTAGGGATGAACAAATTTCAATTCGTAAGGGCCTCACATTAAAATGTCCTTATGAGAACTTTCTACTTAATGTAGCTGATTTTTCCTTTGAAAACAGTAGCTGAAGTGGTAAATTAATTATTTCCAAAATTCATATATTTACATGTTTATTTAATATTTATTACAATTATGTGTCTTGTTTTTTTGGTTTTCTATATCAGTTTGGTAATAATCGAATCAACGTTAGTAATGAACAATGTTAGGGATGAACAAATTTCAATTCGTAAGGGCCTCACATTAAAACGTCTTTATGAGAACTTTCTACTTAATGTAGCTGATTTTTCCTTTGAAAACAGTAGCTGAAGTGGTAAATTAATTATTTCCAAAATTCATATATTTACATGTTTATTTAATATTTATTACAATTATGTGTCTTGTTTTTTTGGTTTTCTATATCAGTTTGGTAATAATCGAATCAATGTTAGTAACAATCGTGATGATTGTCCATCAGCAGTGAATACACAAAACCATGGTGGCAGTATTTCCGATACAAATGTACAACGTTTCAGTACATTCCTATGTAGTTCGTTAAGCACCGAAAGTAGTACGAGCAATGAAAGTGGTGGTAGTAGTAGTGATGCCGCCGCCGATATTGAAATTTGTTGCGAATGCGGTACCGTGCATTATAGTTCAGATGATGATGGTTTGGAATCATCGGAAAATACTAATAATAACGATAACGATAACAACAAGCAAACAAACGTAATGACTTGTCAACAATATCATCGCAACAGTCACAGTCGTAGGGGGGCAGCATCATCATCGCATAACAATGATATACTCGATAAAAATTTACATCTGGATCGTATCTTTGTATGTTGTGATTGGGTTAAACTTCAAAAATGCATTTCTCCTTTGCTAATTTGCTTTTGTTTTTTTTTTTATTTTGGGTATTGCTAGAAAATATTTCAATTTTTATTTTATGTTTTTGATATTTATAGGATACCATAAGCCAATCAAGTAGTACAGATGATAATACAACAACAAATAATAGTAGTACAACACCAAATAGCAATGATTCCAACACCACAAGCTCCACCTCCTCCGCCACATCCTGTCCCATTCATCAAAGTAATGATAATCATATAATTGATGATGGCAATGCTACTCTTGATGATTCAGCGCCGGAAGATCATCACATCAGGTTGTTGAACCGCCATATTTTACACTATTCACATGGAAATTATTCACAACACATAGCTAGCTGCTTACATAGAAAATCAATTCTAAATTTCACCATTAACCATTTGTTGAGCTTCCATCACAGAATGGTTTTGAATAAAAAATATTCTCATAGAAAGCTTTGGAAGGAAGGTCTTCTATTGGAAAGAGGATTAGAAGGTCTCCTTTATGGATCTTCTAACATGTTTATGGCGTGGATTTTTAATTATTTTTTCACATCATACATTTAAAAAATTCAAGGCATATATTTTTTAAAACCTTTAATTTTTATGGCGTTAATTCTTTTTTAAATATTTTTTGAAGGCGTGGATTTTTTAAAAATCAATTTTCAATGCATGAATTTTTTAAAAATCCATTTTTAAGGCATGGATTTTTTAAAAATCAATTTTCATGGCATGAATTTTTTTAAAATCAATTTTCAAGGCATGGATTTCTTAAAAATATTTTTTAAATAGAGAATTTTTTAAAAATATTTTTTTAAGACCTGGACAATATTTTTTTAGATCGTGAAATTTTAAAAATATTTTTTTAAATCTGAATTTTTTGAAATATTCTTTTTACAATGTTTGGATGTGAAAAAAATCAAGTCAAATACTAAACCTCTTCTATAGACAGAAGAGTCTTCTAAAAGCCTTTTCTTCTATAAGAACAACAACAATATAGAATTCCTTCCGAAGCTTTTCTAAAATGTTTTTTTTTTTCTTCACGTTGGAGGGAGTATACATACGACCCTATTTGATTATCTGCTGTGTTGTGAATAGTCGCCGTTTTGAAAAGGAAAACTTTGTTTTATTAATTTCCATATTTAATAACGGCGAAGGTACAAAATTTCGATTTCCCCTAGATTTGTATACAATTCCCTGCGACATCCAACAAATCGGCTTGAAACTTCTGTAACATCTTTACTCAATGATTTAAGGCCGGTGCGTCAAATAAACGATCACGATAATACAATGGATCGTAACAGGTTGGCTTCTATGAATTCGTATTGATTTTTTTTTAAATTCGATCTCTATATAAAGAAGAATTTTAAGAAAATTAAATTAATAATAATGAGGCGGATATAAGAACCAAATCGAAATTAAAAAAATCGTCATTTTAAATTTCTTCCACACAATTTCGAATTTTTAAATTTTTGTTGAATAATTTGTATTACGATATAAAATATTTCTTATATCCGTCACCAAAAGTTGGTATGCTCTCCAAGTATTGTTATTGTGAATTACTTGGTTTTTTTATGTGAATAGTGTAAAATATGTGCAATATTTTATATGCAATTTAACTGTGATATTTAAATAAAAAAACAATTTTTCAATTAGATTGGGCCAAAATGGAAATCCTCTATCTCGCCTGGCATTGGAAAATTTACGTAATCGTAATAATTCCGGGCAAACTTTTAGGCATTTATCGGTTCGTAATATTTGATGAGTATATCTGTGTGAAGTATTTCTCATTTTCGACACCACTTTACTAAACGGAATGGTATTGAAAATGTTTCTGTTCGTTTACGTTTTTCGTTGTGGTTTAAAAAAAATACGAAAGAGTCTGTCCTTGTCATTTTGTTTTATAAAACTCTCTCTCTGTGTATTTCATTAAAATGTTTCTTTAATATCATAAAAAAAAAACAATTTACAATTAACCTCTGGAAATTTTGAATGGGATATAGAATTTTCAGACCTTTTACTCATATAACAAAATCATGTAACAAATTGGGTTGAGATTTTTTAATTTTTTTTTTTGATAAATAAATAAGGCGTTGTTTTTGTTAAGTAATTTTTCAAACTACAAATTAGGCGTGGATTTTTTTTTAATTTACAAACTATTAGCGGATTTTTCAAAAATACTTTTTTTCAGTGTGTGGATTTTATATTTTATTCAAAGTGTGTTGTTGTGTTTTTTAGAAATATTTCAAGTAACAGATAAGGGTTGATTTTTAACTTTATTCGAGTAACAAATTAGACTTGTTTTTTTTTAATAATTTTACAAATAACAGGTTATTAAATTTACAAATGTCATAAAAAATATTTTTTTTAAGTAAAGACAAAGACTTAGGTCTGAATTTTTTAATAATGTTTTTAACTTATATTATTTGCAGTGTTTTTTTATACCCTTCACCACTGTATAACAGATACAGGGTATTATGTCTTTGTACAGCGCACTGAATCAGGTCCATACTTATGTATGCGAAATATTGTTGGAATCGGTTCAGATTTAGATATAACTCCCATATATAGTATCGTCCGATTTTTTGTGAATGATACACTAAACTCCTAATATTTGTCCGATTTGAATGAAATTTGCACAGAGCACTGAATTAGGTCCAGACTGATATCTGCGAAGTTTTGTTAAAATCGGTTCAGATTTCGATATAGCTCCCATATATAGTTTCGTCCGATTTTTTGTGAATGATGCACCCAACTCCCAATATTGGTCCAGATCGATGTAAGCGAACTTTTGTTAGAATCGGTGCAGATTTAGATATAGCTCCCATATATAGTTTCGTCCGTTTTTTTTTGTGAATGATACACCAAACTCCCACTATTTGTCCGATTTGGACAAAATTCTGCACAGAGTACTGAATCATGTTCAGATTGCTGTCTGCGAAGTTTTGTTAAAATCGGTTCAGATTTCGATATAGCTCCCATATATAGTTTCGTCCGATTTTTTGTGAATGATACACTAAACTCCTAATATTTGTCCGATTGGGACCAAATTCTGCACAGAGCACTGAATTAGGTCCAGACTGATATCTGCGAAGTTTTGTTAAAATCGGTTCAGATTTCGATATAGCTCCCATATATAGTTTCGTCCGATTTTTTGTGAATGATACACCAAACTCCCAATATTTGTCCGATTTGCACAAAATTCTGCACAGAGTACTGAATTAGGTCCAGATCGATGTAAGCGAAGTTTTGTTGGAATCGGTGCAGATTTAGATAAAGCTCCCATATATAGCTTCGTCCGTTTTTTGTGAATGATGCACCAAACTCCCAATATTTGTTCGATTGAGACAAAATTTTGCGCAGCGAATGCAATAGAGGAAAAATTTATGTGTTGAAATCGGTTCAGATTTTGATATAGATCTTATATATATTTTCGTTCGATTTTATGTAAATGTTGCACCGAATGGCCTATGTTTGTTTGATTTACACGAAATTTGGCAGAGGGTATTAAATTGAATTTAGAGTGATAACAAAAAACGAATGGTGTATGCAACGGTTGCTCAATCAGGTCCATGTATTTATATATAGCTCCCATACATAATTTAACTCGATTTCATACAAATGGTACACCAAATAATCCAAGTCTGCCCTTTTGACATGCAATTTTTCATTGATTACAGAATGGTATTTGTATAGTAATTTATTTTAATTCAAACAAAACTGGGTTTGATTTTTTCAAAATCTCTTAATCTTAATCAAAAAATCTATTTATAATAGACAAAACAACAACAATCTCTTAATAATAGACAAAAAACATGTGTTTAAAATATATTTTTTCAACTAACGCCATGGGTGAGGATTTTTAAATATTTTTTCCAGTTCAGACATGTGCCGCAATTTTTTAATATATTTTTCCAAGTAACGACATGGGTAGGATGTTTTAAGTTTATAATGAGTCTGGCTTAAGAAATAAATTAAAAAAAAAAAAAATTAACAAATATGGAGTATATTGATCTCTTTTTCATATGATCTCATAACAACATTTTGCACTATTTTTTTAACAAATTTCTAAAAATTATTGCACACATCTCATAGATACATGAAAAGTCTTGTGTAGTCTTGTAGTGTAGTAGATTTGTCCTGCGTCCCTTAATTATTGGATAAAAAAGTTGTATTTGCATTTGGTCGAAAGAACATGTTTCTAAAAAATCATGTATTGACACTTTTCAACACGACTATAGAGACGAAGTTGAAATTTTGAAAACAATATCAAAATAGTTTGTCTACATAGTCCCATACCTTAGGAACCATTTTAAACATGTACTACAATTTTGCCATCTGTGTGGTACCACATTTGGTGGATGGTAGTTTTTTTTTACTGTTGTTGTGTCTACATTGTTGAAAATAAAAGTGTTGTGCTACTGACCTATTGCTACAAATGAATGCCTAATATAGATCCGCTAAATCTTGCTCAGTTTAATTTTAAATATTTTTTTATACATATTTTTTTACATTTCACCACCAGCAGAATGAAGATGGCGATCAAACAGATAGTGGAAATCGTTCACAAACGTCGGCATCATCGACACGACGAAATTCCGTTGAGGACAATAATGCAGCTACAACAGAACCGGTATGGATTTTAAATTTTGAAATTTGCTAACTTAGAAAATATACCAAAAGATTATTTTTGTTCTAATTTCTAGGCTGCTTCCAATACAGATGAAGAGCCTTTGCCGCCACGATGGTCCATGCAGGTGGCACCCAATGGTCGTACCTTCTTTATAGATCATGCCTCCAGGCGTACAACATGGATAGATCCACGTAATGGTCGGGCCAGTCCAATGCCAAATCAAACACGACGTGTCGAAGATGATTTGGGACCACTACCCGAAGGCTGGGAGGAACGTGTACATACCGATGGTCGTGTATTTTATATCGATCATAGTGGGTTTTTGAAATCTTTGCATATAATGATATTTAGTTATTACTAAAAAAATGTCTTCTTTTATTTTCAGATACCAGAACAACACAATGGGAAGATCCCCGTCTTTCAAATCCCAACATTGCTGGTCAAGCTGTACCCTATTCCAGGGATTACAAACAAAAATATGAATACTTTAAGAATCATCTTAGGAGACCTGTAAGTTTGAAAAATAATTTGAAGACTAATTTATATACTCATAATTGAAATGTTATTTTTCAGACAAATGTACCAAACAAATTTGAAATTCGTGTTCGTCGTACATCAATATTAGAAGATTCTTATAGAATTATCAGCCAAGTAACCAAAACGGATTTATTGAAAACCAAATTATGGGTGGAATTTGAAGGAGAAACGGGTTTGGGTAAGTGAAGGAATGACAAATGTGAGACATAGATATTTGAAAAAATTAATAGACTAGGATTTTTTTAATATTAAAAAAAAACAATGTTAATACTTTTATAAAAATTTAATTCAAAAAAGTCTTCAGAAAAATAATTAAAAAAGCCCATTCATATATATAATAATTGTAACAATATTTACAACATTCACAAAAAAACATATGTAAATTGTTTACAACAAAAAATATTTTTTGAAAATTTTCGCTTATATTTATCTATTTCTTTAAATTACATAATTTTTTTTATTAGGTTTATTATTTTTTAATAAATTTTAAAATTAGGCATTTTTTATTTCTTTTATTTATAATTTAATGTATTTTTTAATATATATTTTTATAATTTAATTATATATTGATATATTTATATTTTTTAAAAAAAAATAAATATTTTGATTATATAATATAATTTTCTTAAATTTATAATTTTTTATTGCTATTTTTTATGTACTTCTAATAATATGTTTTTATTTTCCAGATTATGGTGGTTTGGCCAGAGAATGGTTCTATTTGTTATCCAAAGAAATGTTCAATCCCTACTATGGTCTATTCGAGTACTCAGCCATGGACAATTATACTCTGCAAATCAATAATGGCAGTGGTCTATGTAATGAGGATCATTTGCACTATTTCAAGTGAGTTATTCAAAAATTCAAAAAAAAAAAACATTTAATTTTTAATCGATTTCTTTTTGTCCCTCTTCCACCCCGCATAGATTCATTGGTCGCATTGCCGGTATGGCTGTGTATCATGGTAAACTATTGGATGCCTTCTTTATACGTCCCTTCTATAAAATGATGTTGGAGAAACCTATTGATCTCAAGGATATGGAGTCAGTAGATACGGAATATTATAATTCCCTAATGTGGATTAAGGAGAATGATCCCCGCCAACTGGAGCTGACATTCTGTGTGGATGAAGACACATTCGGTCAGAAGAGTCAACATGAATTGAAACCGGGTGGGGCCAATATTGAGGTCACCGATGAAAATAAAGATGAATATATTAAGCTGGTGATCGAGTGGCGCTTTGTGGCCCGTGTCAAGGAACAAATGTCAGCCTTCTTGCAGGGCTTTGGTTCAATAATTCCCCTGAATTTAATTAAAATCTTTGATGAACATGAACTGGAATTGTTGATGTGCGGCATACAGAACATTGATGTTAAGGATTGGCGGGAGAACACCCTGTACAAGGGTGACTATCATCAGAATCACATAATTATTCAATGGTTCTGGCGTGCCGTTCTCTCATTCCCCAATGAAATGCGTTCGCGTTTGTTGCAATTTGTAACGGGCACATCGCGTGTTCCCATGAATGGTTTCAAGGAATTGTACGGGTCAAATGGGCCACAAATGTTTACCATTGAAAAGTGGGGTACACCCAACAACTATCCCAGGGCGCATACATGGTAAGGACAATGGAGAAATGTTTTTTTTTTTGGGTTTTAATTAATTTTGTTTTTTATTACAGCTTTAATCGTTTAGATTTACCACCCTATGAGGGTTATTTACAATTAAAGGATAAACTAATCAAAGCCATTGAAGGCAGTCAGGGTTTTGCCGGTGTCGATTAAAAAATTCTTTCGGTGTTCACACAATCAAACACAAAACAAAAAATCCATTAAAAACACAGTGATGGTGTCGCTCCAATGGTGGGCCAATGGCGACAATCATTATTCCTATATATATTTATATAAAATAACTGAAAACAAATCAAGGCAATTCTTCTTGCAAACAAAAACAAATAATAACAACATCGCCAATGTCCATATAAAAAAGTTGCAGTCTACTACTACCAATATTTCTTTCGGAACAAAAATACAACAACAACAACAAAAAGAAACAACCATTATCATACAACGAAGACTAAAATGAAATACACAATAGACGCGTAATTAAGTCGTGGCCTTTTTCCAAAAACAAAACAAAACAAAACTAAACAAAAACAAACAAACCAACAAAATTGTACTTATTTATTTTGCCTGTTTCCCCTTCTATTCTTGTTTTCCTTTTGTATAATCATTATTTTTAAATACTATGTTTATAATTATAAAAAAACAAAATAAAAATGCAGACGCAATAACTATATAGAGAAATAAATTATTTGACAATTTCAAACAAACAACTATAACTAAAAATCAAATGATGTGTTTTTTTATTACAAAAAAAGTAAACGAAGGATAAAGGCCTTCATAAAACTATCCTTTGGAAAAATTCCCACAAGAAATGCCATAGCTTTGGTCATGCCCTAAACGATAACCCTAATTGCTTTATCAAATTGTACGCACACGTCAAGGCTAATCGGCTCCCACAATATATGCTGCTATTTAATTTTGTTGTTAGAAAATATTAATTGGCGTCCAGAATATTGAAAAATATAATATCATGTTCCTATCAAAAGATTATCTTTTTATAAATTAAAAAAACGCATACGCAAATACATTGTGATAATGATAATGAGCTTATACTCTGAACAATACAACCATTTGAAGTATTTGAAAATATTTAGAAGATTTGCCGAATTTGTGGAAAAATTGCAGAAAGCCTTTGACGTACTGATAAGAATGGATGGAAACCCCTTGGGGGTAATCATGTATGGAAGGCAACAGATGTTTGGAAAAAACTGTTTTTAAATACAGGCTTATACAAATTTTATATACATATATTTTTGAGAAACAAACACACGAAAAATTGCGCTTATATATATATATTTTTTTTTAATCCATGATTATGGAAATTATTAAAAAAAATTAAGAAAAAATTAAACACTCCTCGTTTAAAAAATGTGTTTAAAAAAGGCTTGAAGCCTCCCCAAAAAAAGGAATTGTATCTAAATTTGATAAATGATTAAAAAGCTTTCTTTGTCAAGCGTTTATGAATGGCGTCGAGATAACTCCCGTATTTTCCCATTACGCTGAACTAGAAAAAAAGTAATCGCAATCAAAATTTGTTTAAATGATAATTGTCATGTTCCAATAACAATAACAGCAATAACTGACTTTCTATTGGTTGTACATTAGTTGATTATATTCTAAAACTCTTGAGTACATACATACACACATAGATACATATGAAGAATGTGAATTGGACATTATCGTTTTATGCAGAGATTTCGATCGAAATGTAGAAAGAAAGACGGCACCCATAGAATTCGGTGATTTTGATGGTGGGAGGGCAGTACCAACAATTCGGACTACGCCAATTTTTTGGGCTATCTTTGAGAGGAGTCTTTCAATAACGAACATACATACTTACATATACATACCTAAGTATGTACATATGTTTTATGTATAAAAATAAGTAGAACGCGTCGGCAAGAGGTTAGTTTTTAAGTTCAATTCAAGGCATTGTTGTCAAATAGACAAAATCTAACGCTGGTAGTTAGTTCCGTCTACATCAAAAAGTGGGGAACCATGTCAATATTACAAGTTTTGTTGATAATCGGATTATGTTGTATCTGCCCGATGATCTATGGATATCCATTTGAAGTTACGGCGGATCATGCCTCATTCGTAGATGAAGGCCGGCAGATCAATGGTCGCATTTCCGGCGGTAATTTGGCAGACGAAAATCAATTTCCCTATCAGGCTGGATTGAATATTGAAACAACGACGGGAAAATTTACATGGTGTGGTGGTAGTTTGATATCAAATCAATGGATATTGACTGCGGGTCATTGTGTTCATGGGTAAGTTTTAATATTTTTTCAACTTCCAGTTAAAAAAAAATATTTTTTCAACTTCTAGCATATCCATAGGCTAGTATTTTTTAAAACTATTTTTTAGTATATAGCCTTGGAATTAAAAAATAAACATTTTTTCAAGTGTTGAAGTAAATATTTTTAAGGAGTGGATTTTTTAAATATTTTTTAAGGAGTGGATTTTTTTTAAATATTTTCCCAATGCGTGGATTTTATTTTTCAAGTGTTGAAGTAAATATTTTTAAGGAGTGGATTTTTTAAATATTTTTTAAGGGGTGGATTTTTTTTTTTTTTTTAAATATTTTCCCAATGCATGGATTTTATTTTTAATAAATGTTTTCAATAATTTTTTTTCAGCATCACGGGTGTTATAGTATATTTAGGGTCGGTACACCGCCTACAACCCAAGCAGACATATCGGATATCGCTGGCCGACATTCACATCCATGAACATTTCAAATCATCTCCATTGGAAAATGATATTGCCCTGCTGCGTCTACCCTCGAGGGTGACATTCAGTGATGCCATATATCCCATAACATTGCCCCGACTATTTTCCTTTCATCCGGCCTATGAATATAGAGAGGCTGTTACTTCGGGTTGGGGTCGTGAAAATGATGGTAAGTCGTCAGAAAACATGGAAATGTAATAGAAAGATTTTCATTGGTTTTTGGTTTTATTTTTTCAGTATCTTCAAATATCTCCCCTTTTTTGAAATACATAATTCGTTATACCCTGACCAATGAAGAATGCCAATTTGTCTATGGAAGTTCTGTGCGTCCCAGTAATATTTGCATTGACACCACCGGCGGCCAATCAACATGTAGTGGTGATAGCGGTGGTCCATTGGTTATCTATGATAATCTCCAGGGCCTGATACAAATTGGTCTAACTTCGTTTGGTAAATCTTCTGGCTGTACAAAGGAATATCCGGCTGTCTTTACACGATTGACATCGTATTTGGAATGGATTTATGTGATATCAGGGGTGGGGAATTTTTAAAAGAAAAAAAAAAACATGAAACACCATTTGAAAGGAAATGTTAGCAAAAAATCTGGGAAATTTTTGAAAATCAAAATTTAATTTGTAATATTTTAGAAATTATTTCAGTTCTGTTGAACCCCAGGCGGGTTTTATGTAGTTAACAAAAAAGCTGGTTCTTTATATGAAAGGAAACGTTTGCAAAAATTCTGGGAATTTTTTGAAAATCAAAATTTAATTTGTAATATTTTAGAAATTATTTCAGTTCTGTTAAAGCCCCAGGTGGGTTTTATGTAGTTAACAAAAAACAGGTTCTTTATATAATCTCAGTTTAAAAAAAATACGTTAAAGCGAACAGCAAATCTCTCAATTTTTTTTGGAATTTATATTAAATTTTTTGAAATTGTTTAAACAAAAGTGCTGGTCACTTGAACACTTACCTTGCGAAAAAATTAAACTTTTTTGTAAAAAAAAAAATAAAAAATTAAGTGTTTTTTGTTAAAAATATAAGTTGATTAAAAAAAATCTTTTTAAGAAATAAAATGCATATAATACTATATATTTTAGTCTAATTTAAAAAAAAAAAATTAAAATCATGGTATATATAGTATTTTTATAGGGCGTGGATTTTTATAAATTATTTTTTTAATAAATTTTAAAATGTGTGTATTTTTATAACCTACACAACTATGTTGTTAGGGTATTATAGCTTAGTGCAGCCTCAAGAGTTTGTAATGCCGCGAAATATTGGCCCTAGACCCACCTTTAAGTGTACCGATCGTCATATCTTGACTATTTGAGTAGATATAGACATGTGTGTCCGTCCGTCCGGCTGTCCATTATAATTTGTAAACACGATACAGGCCGCAGTTATGGACCAATCTTCACGAAATTTTGCATATAGGATGGGTTCTGGCCAATGAAGACCACTATTGTTTTTGGTAAAGATGGGTTAATATTTAGGGGATGAAATGAACCAAATACTTTTTTTCGTATTTTCTGGTCGCAATTATGGCCCGATCGCTTGGTCGCAATTATGACCAGATACCGCAATTATGGCCCGAACATCGCGAGATTTTACATAGAGAAGGGAATCGGGCCAAAGAATAAGCTAGATGTTAAATTGTAAACGAAGTACAGGTCGCATTTATGATCCGATTTGAATGCAATTTTTCACAAGTCACTTATTTGGCCCAGGGACGACCCCTATTGAAATTGCAGAAAATCGGGTCAGATTTAGATATAGCTCCCATATATATTTTTTCCGATTTAAGGTAAATGGGGCACCAAAGTTCTTACATATCTTTCGATTTGCACGAATTTTGGTATAGCTTCCTGAATTAAGTCCAGAATGATGTGTGCTAATTTACATATAGTAGTCGTGATTTTATGTAAATGGTGCCGCAAAGTCCCTATATAACTTTCGATTTGCACGGAATTTTGTATAGTGTTCTGAATTGAGTCTTAAATAACGTGTGTTAAGTTTCGAGAAAATCGGTTCAGATTTAGATATAGCTCACATATATATTTTCGTCCGATTTAAGGTAAATGGGTCACCAATGTCGCTATATATCTTTCGATTTGCACGAAATTTTGTATAGCGCACTGAATTGGGTTGGGAATGATGTGTGTTAATTTTCGTGGAAATCGGTTCAGATTTAGATATGGCTCCCATATATATTCTCGTCCGATTTTATGTAAATTGTGCACCAAAGTCCCTATATAAATTTCGATTTGCACAAAATTTTGTATAGTGTTCTGAATTGAGTCTTGAATAACATGTGTTAAGTTTCGAGAAAATCGGTTCAGATTTAGATATAGCTCACATATATAGTTTCGTCCGATTTAAGGTAAATCGGGCACCAAAGTTCCTAATAACTTTCGATTTACACGAAATTTGGCATAGGGTACTGAATTAGGTCGAGAATGATGTGTGCTAAGTTTCGTGAAAATCGGTTCAGATTTAGTTATAGCTCCCATATAAATTTTCGTCCTATTTAATGTAAATTGATTGACACAACGTAATGAAATTAGTATTCCTTCGAAAAGATGACGTCTGTTAGGATACATATATAGAATATAACCAAAGTGGTGAAGGGTATCATATAGTCGTCCCAGACTTTATTACTGCTGGTTTTAAAATTATGTTTGCGGAAATTGAACCACTTGAATATAATTGGTACAATTAAAATACAGTTTTTTACATAGCATACTTTTAGGAGACCACTATGTGCCCACACACAAACTCTAATATAACACTTTTAAGTGCACAGTAGTTAATAACGGTATGTTGATGATTTGGCATTCACAACTAATACGTCACCGATTCAATATTATCATCATCCAAATAACATACGATTACAATCAGTATAATTTTAAAAAGTTTGTAAAAATTGTTTTGCAAAGCAATATCTTTAAAGACATTTTTTTTATTTGCTCAAGTGCTTGATTATCTGCAGGCACTTTTTCCGACAAATATTCCTAAGTTTATTTAAGTACCATTTTTCATTATTTTTCAAGCTCTATTTACAGTAGTCGGTTAAAAAAGATATATTTTTTTAAAGTCGAAATATTTAAGGACTAATAAAGGCGTAGAATTTGTAATGTTTTCTTTTTTTATTTCCTCACTACAGGCAAAATATTTTTTAATATTTTTGCAAGGGCCAAATTCAAGGCGCTTTTTGAAAATTTATTAAATTTTACCATTAAGCGTGATTTAATAAATTTTTCTTAAACTTCGACCGAACTACAGGTTTGTCATTATTTTAAAAATCTTTTCTCAAAGTTTCACTACTGAATTTTTAGTAATATTTTTGCAAGGTCTAATTGAAGTCGTGAATTTTGAAATCTTACAATTTCTACGAATTATCTCTTATAGATTATTTGATTATTGTTATTTGTTGTTTTTTATGACCCTAATATTTGATGTAGTCATAAGAGTTTTGACAAGCAATATCAGTTTATATTGGCAACATTTTGAAGTGGTGCCTGCTTACGTTTTGATTTGTTTATAATTTTAGAAATAAAAAGAATCTGATTCAATACGCAGCTTATCTGTTAATAATAGTCGACTACTGTTTGTTTTTGTATTTTTATTAGATTTTCAATTGCATTTTTTGTTTTAAAAATATGTCTGAACTGAAAAAAAGTGTAGACGTGCGAGCGTCTCAAACCCACACTATACACACACACACAAACACAGATTTTGATTAGACAATGTCGGTGTATTATCAAATAGAATTTGGAAAATTTCAAAAATAAAATATATATATATATATAGTTGTGTCTTTATATAAGTGTAGGGTTGCGAATTTTTGTTGTTGTTATACTCTTCACCACACTGTCTTTGTGCATATGTTTGTAAGAGGCCAAAGGAATCGAGATAGACCCATGCTTCCTTTTGAGAATATGCATAGAATCACTTTCTAAGTCGATTTATGCATGTCCGTCTGTTGATGCTAAATTGTAAACAAAATACAGGTCACACATTTTGGCACAAGTCACTTATTTGGCCCAAGGACGAACCCTATTGAAATTGTAGAAAATCGGTTCAGATTTAGATATAGCTCCCATATATATTTTTGTCAGATTTTAGGTAAATGGTGCCCCAAATTTCTTGAAAATTATTCGATTTGTACGAATTTTGGCATAGCGGACTGAAATATGTCTATAATGATGTGTGCTAAGTTTCGTGAAAATCGGTTCAGATTTTGATATATCTCCCATATATAGTTCGTTCGATTTTAGGTAAATGGTACACCAAAGTCCCTGAAAATCATTAGATTTGCAGGAATTTTGGCATAGTGTACTAAATTAAGTCTGGAATGACGTGTGCGAAGTTTCGTGAAAATCGGTTCAGATTTAGATATAGCTCCCATATATAGTTTCGTCCGATTAAATAATGCACCAAAGTCCCTAAAGATCCTTCGATTTGCACGATTTTTGGCATAGCGTACTGAATTAAATCTAGAATTATGGGTGCTAAGTTTCGTGAAAATCGGTTCATATTTAGATATAGCTCCCATATATATATATATATATATATATTCGTCCGATTTTATGTAAATGGTACATCAAACTCCCTAATGGTACATCAAACAAATTTAGGCATAGCGTACTTAATTAAGTGTAGAATGACGTGTGCTAAGTTTCGTGAAAATCGGTTCAGATTTAGATATAGCTCCCATATATATTTTCGTCCGATTTTATGTAAATGGTGTAGCAAAGTCCCCATATATCTTTCGATTTTGGTAGATTGTACTAAATTATGTATAGAAGGACGTGTGCAAAGTTTCGTTTCGGTTCAGATTTACTACATACACCTCCTATATATATTTTTGTCCGATGTTAAGTAAATGGTGCACTATAGACTCATAGCTAGGCCGATTGATACAATGTACTGAAGTTAATATAAATTAATATCTTAGACGTTTCCTTGAAATTGGTTCAGATATAGATATAGCATAGCTTCCATATATAATTTTGACCTATTCATGTTAACAAAATTTAGCATAGATTGTCGGTTTACATAGAGCACATATGTAAGTTCGTTCAATTTCATGTCAATTTTCCTTTGAAAAAGGCGACGTCTGCTAGGATACATATGTAGAATATACCCAAATTGGTGAAGGGTATCATATAGTCGGCCCAGTCCGACTTTACTGCTTTCCTTACTGGTTTTTTTATTATATAATATAAGTGTGGTTAAATGTGGAATAATAAAAGTGGGTCGGCGAAGTTCGAAGTTCCTGAGAAAATAAATAATGTTCAAAAAAATGTAAAATCGTCCGTCTTTCCATTATAGTTTGTTAACACGATACAGGCCACAGTTATGGATCAATCTTCACGAAATTTTGCATGTAGGATGGGTTCTGGCCAATGAAGACCCCTATTGTTTTTGGTAAAGATCGGTTAATATTTAGGGTATGAAATGGATCAAATTCAAAATTTTTGTCGGTTTTTCTGGTCGCTCCAGAGGCCGCAATTATTGCCCGAACATCGTGAAATTTTGCATGGATAAG